GCTCATTTAAATTCTGATTTTTGCTATCCAAGTTCGACTCTAAAGTTCATAGAAAAAGGACGATCTAATAACACCTGGCTACCGGTAAATTTTCTTTAAATTTGCTTCCCTTTTTCCACTTTTTCCACTTTTTCCAACTTCAATCAAAATCGCTTTTCACCTTTCTGACTTTTGAATCAAACATTCATATAATTTTCAAGTTTTTCAAAGTAGATTTGATCTATTTTACAGTAATCTTACAATCTGGCTCGTAATTTGTGCTCAAACACGTTGAAAATCTTCATTTTATTCAATCACTTAAGAAAAATAAGGAAAACAAGTGCGCCAGGGGTTCGTGTTTGTTCAAGCACAAAGTACGACGAGAACATGGAACTACTCTACCCTTTTTCATTACTATTCACTCAGCTTTTATCTAATAATTCAAATGTTTACTTTCAGAAGCTCTAAAATCAGTCTCAAAAAATGAAAGCCCTGCAAATGATTCTCATCGTTGTTTTATTTTTCGCTCTCATTGCTCAAAGGTGAGTCAAATGATCAAATTTTTAACTCAAAATTCTGTAGGAAAAGAAAGTGAAAGGATAGAGAGATTAAGAAAGGAATTTGTATGGTTTGAATTGTTTCAGTGAATCCACTCCATTGGTGTCTCGACGAATGAAACGACGTTTGATAATGCGACAACCAATGATGGATATCCCCTTTGAGGATGTTCTCGATATACACAATTTGGGAGCAAGCAAGAGAAAACTATGGTATTCAGCTGATTATCTTTACAATCCTTTAATAGAAACAAAGAAGTAGTCTGTCTTTGAACTGATCTGATTGATCTAAGAAAACCCCCGAGGCTTGTCAGAAGCCAAATCAGACCTGATCTGACCTGACTGGCTTACAGACTTGGTTTAAATCCTCCTAATAGAGATACCGTATTTTCTCTAATAGTAGCACACCGTGAGCGTCGCCTAAATTGCTCGAAATCTCGAGAACCGCTTATCAGAACCTATCGATGTGGGGTCGGAAAATGTAGCTGACGATGAGGTCTTGCGGGGGATTAGAGTGTTGAGTTTCTGCCAAAGCTTGGAAATCCGTAAAATTGTCACCAACTCGGCTCGTTGGGCTGTACCACTATTAGAGAAAATACGGTAATCGAACGAAATGCTTAATCGGCCTATAACCAACATATACAGGCCTATAACCCACCGATAAAGTAGAACTCTCGCCCATTGTACTCTGGGAATCTCTGGTAGAAAGAATTGATGGCTATTACGACATCAACTGCTGTCTATACAAGAATACATGAGTTATTTCTAAGTCAGTCATTTTTCTTTACAATTACCTTATTATCATTCCAAACTTGATCATCAAAAACATTATTGGCACGGTAGGAGAAGCCGACGTCTCGGGGTGATTCGATCCAGAGAATGTTGGCGAAATGAAGCGTTTATTATTGGGGAAAGTTAAATTTAGCAGTTAATATTTATTATATTAGGTTGATGCATAAGTCTTTTCGTTCCTTTTCGTCTGCCGTTTCAAACCAACAAATGCACCAATTAAACTACGGTTGATTTCATTAGAAAAACTAATTATTTTTCTGCAAAATAACATTAAAACGGGTTTAAAAATATTTTATGCCTGGATTTTCTTGAGAGTATGAAGTCGGGTAGTCAAAAAGGGCTAACTCGATGATGCGGTTTAGACACCTTAGCTAAAGAAAACCTATCTTCGTGTCAATAGATAAAAGATAGAGAAAAAAAAGTTTGATATTTCGCCCAAATTTCAGAGAAATTCATTCAGCCAATTTTTCCGTAGAGTTTTTATAGATTTTTACGAAAAAGGCGTTTTTCACTCTCGAATTTGCTTGAAAGTGAACCGAAATTGATTTAAAAAGATGGAAATTGAACAAAAAAACACTTTTTTTATAGAGCAAACTATAGATTAATTGGTGAATTTGTTACTTTTTAACAGAAGTACGAAAAAAACGAAAAGACTTATGCATCAACCTAATATATTGTATCCAGATTCAATTCATTGATATTCAAGGCACATCAGAAATTGAGGTTACCCTATTTTCTCTAATAGTAGCGCACCGTGAGCGTCGCCTAAATTGCTCGAAATCTCGACAACCGCTTATCAGAACCTATCGATGTGGGGTCGGAAAATGTAGCTGACGATGAGATCTAGTGGGGGATTAGAGTGTTGAGTTTCTGCCAAAGCTTGGAAACCCGTAAAATTGTCACCAACTCGGCTCGCCGGGGTGCACTACTACACTCTGTCAAAAAATTATAGACGCACCCTGTTTTTTGCTAGTTTAAAGCCGGATATAAGTGCTAGTTCAGTGAAAAGTATTTTTTAGTTTCTTTAATGTAAAAAAAACCCATGCAAAATTTCAAGTCATTTCACTCATTCAAAGTATTTTATCGCACAAAAAACGTTTTATCAGCTGTCAAAAAATTATAGACGCACTTTTATTTGACTATTTATTCTATCGATAATTGTTAGTTTTTTCTCATTTTTTTTGCTTATTAGTTATGTTTATAAATGTTATTTCATTTTCAGATATGCCACTTGGAAAACAACTGGATGTGGTGGAAAAAACGCGTACCGATGTGCTCCACACGCTTGGTCACTCAAACAGGGACATTGCTCGTCACATCGGACGTTCTGAGAAGTGTATTCGCACGTATCTCAAGACCAGAGTGACTCCTAAGAAGAAAGAAATACGGAGCTGGAAGAGAAACTGACCGATGAAGATGAACGCGCAATTACGAGACATCTTTCCAACACGACCACATCACTCGAAGAGGTTCGCAAGGAGATGAAGCTTCCGGTCACTCGCCAAACTGTGACAACGTTGTCAAAGGATCTACAATATTCAAATACAAACTCATGAAGCAAGCTCCACGACTTACAAAGGATCATAAAGCCGCCCGTATCAATTTCGCTCAAAAGAACTAGAAGACCAAATGGGAGGGAGTTGGTTTACTAGTATCTCTTATATATTTTATGTTTAGATCATTTGGAGTGACGAAAAGAAGTACAACCTTGATGGTGCTGATGGTTTTCGAGGATATTGGAAGGATTCACGAAAGCCGGGCATGGTCTTCAGCACGAGGGACTTTGGAGGTGGATCTTGTATGGTATGGGGAGCCTTTCGAGACGGTGAACTGGTCGGCTTAGAGTTTATTTCGACCCGGATGACGCTTGACTATCAACAAGTGTTGGACAAACATCTAGCCGTCTATCTGAACAACAATCCGGGCAATAACTTTACTTTTCTGCACGATAACGCGAGTATTCATGCAAGTTGCTCCACAAGAGATTGACTGACAGCGCACAAGATCGGCACTGTCGCTTGGCCCGCTTGCAGCCCAGACTTGAACCCGATTGAGAATGTGTGGGGGACACTCGTTCGAGATGTCTAGAAGGGAAACAAGCAATATTCGAGCGTGAATGAACTCAAGAAAGCCATTCAAGTAGCCTGGAATCGGCTTCAGCCAACAGCGCTCCATGACCTTATCTCTTCGATGCCGAGACGTCTTTTTGAAGTTGGACTAAAGCAAGGAGGTGCCACACATTATTAATTTATTTGGTTTGTGTTGTTATTTTTATTTCTGTTAACTTTTTCTTGATAAAATAAAAGTGCGTCTATAATTTTTTGACAGCTGATAAAACGTTTTTTGTACGATAAAATACTTTGAATGAGTGAAATGACTTGAAATTTTGCATGGGTTTTTTTTTACATTAAAGAAACTAAAAAATACTTTTCACTGGACTGGCACTTATATCCGGCTCTAAACTAGCAAAAAACAGGGTGCGTCTATAATTTTTTGACAGAGTGTATTAGAGAAAAAAAACAGTAATTAAAATAATCTCTATCACAATCGTATGAAAAACATTTCAGGCACTCACACAAAGCGCAACTTCTTCCCAATCTCGGCTATCTACGAGCTCTGGTAGTCCCCAACCACCCCTTCCCCATTCGCAAAGTAGTACCCTAATCTATAAATATCATTCTATTGAATAAGCTTCAAGATGTTTTCTTTTCAATTTTGACATTTTTTGGTTTTCTTTCTTGGGTTTCTTGATCGATCTCAAGCCTTTTCAAATCTCATTCGCATTCGTTTTCGGTTAATATTTTTTTCGGTTTTCAAATCTGTGCTAACATCTGGTTTTTGTTCTTTTAGGGCTATAAAATAAATCTTTATGGGGTATTGGAAGCTTTAAAAAGTTTAACGAATTGTGTTTTCTCTTGTGGCCTGAAATGGTCTAAAATGAAGCTTTTTCGAAAAGTAGAAGCTCTAGAACAAACAGACGAACAAACAAAAAGGGTTCTTTTATGTTAGTTTCATATAACTTTAATTGGTGGTATTTTCTAACGGAAAACCCGGGCATGGCCATTACCAGAAACACAGAAAATAAACATTTGTGAACCCTCAACTTAAAAGTCACTCAAGACTTCAATAATCAGTTCAATTCAAAATCCTTTGCACTATTTTGTAGAGGAGATTCAGGGCTTTAGAACAGTATACAACACTTATCGGCTGAGGCTTGCAATCCTTTTATTTTTGGAATGATATGTGAGCGCTGGTTTCATTGCCCACCACCCTAATATGAGATTGGCAACTTGAAAGTCGGTATAGTTATTCATTTGACTTTTTAGAAATAATTAGTGCACCAATTAATCTACCGTTTTGACCAATAAAAAGGCCTATTTGACAGATTTAGAAAAGCTTTGGTTTTTGGAGGTTTCGAGGGGGCAAGAAGTTGAGGAACGAAAAAAAGATGAACACTCGATGAAGCGATTTGTGCACTTTCTTCCACATGAACCTATTTTGGTGTAAATAGAAAAAAGGTAGAGCATAAAAAGTTAGGTGTATAGCCAAATTTTCAGCTAAAACTAATCAATTATTTATGTTATCGTTCTATTTGAAGAATTTAAATCTTTAGTACAGATGAATCTTTATTACAAATATTCATAGTATAAGTTACAATGGATATAAATATTATTTTCCTGGTGGTGGTGGAGGAGCAGTGTAGCAAAGAACAGCCTTCACTAATCCCTTCTTTGCTGGATTTGCCTGGAAATTTTCAAAATTACGAAAAAGTTAAAATCAAAAGGTTTCCTTTTTGATTAATACAGTGAAATCTCGATAGTAGCCGGTTTTTAAAAATCCCTAAATTGTTAACTTCACTGTACAGGGTGACCCAAATTATAGCAACCAGTTTTTAAAAAACTATTCTTTTCCAAAACTTTCTACAGAAAGTAGCATGTATTATATACCATTTAAAAGCTCTAATTCTTAGCATCATTAATATATTAAAGATTTTTTAACCAGAGCTAATTCTTGACCCTTATTGACCTTCAGAATGAGCTCCCCGCAAGCACCCCACGGCGAGCTGTCATTTTTCGTGGTTTTGAATGTAAGAAATGTTTTGAGAAGGTTTTTTTCAATTGAATAACCTTTTCCCAATTCTTTTGGTTTAAATCAAGGTAAGCGTTAACCGAGCATGTGCAAATCGCTTGTTAAAACGGGCTCAAAACTTGCCGCAAAAAGACCATTTTGCAGCGAGTAATGAAATTCGCGTTTTTCCGGATGTCTGGTTCTGCTGATCGAGGCACTTTTGGATGTGATTTTGGTTTTAGGGTATTGAATTCAATTAAGTTTAATAAAATTTCTACAAATCTAATCGTGTTTCCTGTTTTTCAAGGACGAATTTTTACGTAGAAAGCCGCGAAATGATAGCTAGGGATACGCAAGGTGAGCTCATGTCAATGGCTCATGTCAATGGCTGATGTCAATGGCTGATGTCAATGGCTCATGTCAATGGCTCATGTCAATGGCTCAGGTCAATGGCTCATGTCAGCCAGTAAGGGTCAAAAATTAGCACTGGCCAAAAAATCTTGGCTTCAGTTTTTTTAAGTCTCAACTCTTTCTAGTAAAAAAAGTTTAAGATTTGAAATGAAAATTGGAATCGATTTAATCAAAGCAATACCTTTTGCAATACCTTTTACAATACCTTTAAAAAAGCAATACCTTTTGCACACTGTACCATTCTCCTTTTTGGCATCGATATTCGCTGTTTTTTGTCGGTGATGGCCCAAGGGTTGAACTACTGAACGAGTTCTTTTCAGTGATCTTCTCTAGATCCTGAAAATGAATCAAAATTCATGATCATTGCAGATTGTAAAGAAGATTTACTCTTGTGGTAAGAGAAAAGCTTGTCGGTTTAGGTAAAACGAGTTATTTTAGCGATTAGACCAACTCACATCAGTGAAAGCAATGATAAACGCGGAAGCATGTGTTGGGTTACCATTTGGATTGCACACCGACGACGCCACCATGCATCCGTCGTCTCGGGTCCTGTATTACAAGTAAGTTTGGAGCGAAGAAATGAATTACTGTATGAGAAAGTTTTTCTAGAGTTAAATTGAGCATGGTAAAGGGAAGAACCGATTGATCTTACGTCCAAATCCGAACTAAATGGCCGCTTTGTGTGGTTGTATCTCCAAAACTAGTGGGTCGATTTTGATGATTTTGGTGTTATTTTGTAGAGCAAGACTTATCAATTCGTAAAGTGAAGTTACATGTGGAAAAAGTAAAGTTAGTAAAGAAAAATATGAAATTCGTTACAGTTTCAGACGCTAGTACGGTTTCAGACGCTAGTACTGTTTCGGACGCTAGTACTGTTTCGGACGCTAGTACGGTTTCAGGACGCTAGTACGGTTTCAGACGCTAGTACGGTTTCGGACGCCAGTACTGTTTCGGACGCTAGTACTGTTTCGGACGCTAGTACCGTTTCGGGACGCTAGTACGGTTTTAGGACGCTAGTACGGTTTCGGACGCTAGTACTGTTTCGGACGCTAGTACCGTTTCGGGACGCTAGTACGGGTTCGAACGTAACAGATATAAGAAATATTCTTCAAACCACAGTAACTGGAGCTGATTTACGCAATTTTTGCAAATCTAGTCAGGGTTTAAAGTTAAAAAAATAGTCAGGGTTTAAAGTTAAAAAATCTAGTCAGGGTTCATAGTTGAGTTCAAAAATCGACTTGAAACCATTTCAAAGGCTTTGCCGACCTGTACGAGTAAATGATTGGTGCGGAGTGGATTGCGGGCGGAATTCCTTCGATCTCTTTGACATCTCTGTTGAATTGATCGAGATCCTCTTCACAGGAAGTACAATCTAAAGTTTTAGGAATGAGTTGATCATTTTAGAATTTGGCATTCTGTCCATTCTTGCCATTGAGTGAATCGACGCTCACCTGGGTCTCCTCTAAAATTTCAGTTTGAAAATTTGTAGGATTTCACTCTAATAAGAGCACAATTTGAAAGTTAAAGCTTTATAAATTTGACTTTACATATTTACATAGAACTACTTTACTAAACTCACAATTGTGCTCGTTGACAACCCAATGTAAGATCGATGAAGCAAAGTTGAAACAAACAGATGAAAACAGGCAGACGATTCATTGTATGATCGACTTCTTGATCTCTAAAAAGTGCAATAATTTGGCAAAAACCGTGGAATGTGTGCAAAAGTGTGGAATTCATTGCATTGCCTGGCATATATCTCCTCCTCTTCCTAGGAGAACTTGCTCTTCCCTTAGCGCCTCGCTTTTCGAACTTGCAATATTTCATTGGCATTTTATAAGTGATCACATTTGTGTCTAGAAAACATTAAGTTACGAGTGACAGGCACGTAGCGATAGATAAGGGGAAAGCTTAGGCAAAGCGACGAAGCAAAAAATACTAGCGTCCAAACCGTCCAAACCAAACCAAGGCGACGAAGCAAAAAATGGCGCACACGCAAGAGGCGCACACGCAAGAGGCGCACACGCAAGAGGCGCACACGCAAGACGCCACGCAAGAGGCGCACACGCAAGAGGCGCACACGCAAGAGGCGCACACGCAAGAGGCGCACACGCAAGAGGCGCACACGCAAGAGGCGCACACGCAAGAGGCGCACACGCAAGAGGCGCACACGCAAGAGGCATTTGCATTAAAGGAATGAGAAAGAAAGAAAGAAAGAAAGAAAGAAAGAAAGAAAGAAAGAAAGAAAGAAAGAAAAAGAAAGACAAACAATGTAAATCTTTATAAACTAATGAGTGATGAGTTGGACAGTCATTGACAAACCTGATACTTCTGCAAAACCAAAAGTAAATCAAAATCCAATCAACAAACTATTTTGAATCAATTCAACGCTTTAAAGCTTAAAAACATTAATTGGATTGCATTATTTTATTAAACATTTAATAGATAAATAGATAAATATTGGGTTGGTGAATTGCAAAGTGCCGGCTGTTGTCATATGTCACAGTTTGAGCACTTTCTTCAAAAGAAACCCATTTTGGTGTCAATGGAAAAGTTGTAGAGAATCCAAAATTAAGCTTATATCCAGATTTACAGAACGATTCAAAAACTGGTTTTCTAGAAATGCTAAATTCACGAATTTTCACAAAACTTGCATTTTAAGCGAAACTACTAAGTGTATCTTTTTGGAAATTTGGCTATAATTGATTCTCTGCAACTTAATTTTTGATTCTCTACGACTTTTCTATTGACACCAAAATGGGTTTCTTTTGAAGAAAGTGCTCAAACTGGGACACCTCCAGTCTTCCATTCTCAAAGTTCAGTCCTCCATTTTTGAGTCTCACACTTGTCTCACACACAGACCAAAATCCTACTACGAAAGAGGAATCCGCAAATTGCCTGTAAAATGGGCAGAAGTTGTCAATAATAATGGAAATTATTTGGAATGAATTCATAGTTTTATGTTCAATAAATTTTAGTTCAAAGTCCAGCAGTTTTCAATTCACCAACCCAATATTAGCTGACTAAGTACTCTTTCGCGATTTTAAAGTCACTGGCAAATTTTCCAGTTATGTTTAAGATAAGCCATTGTTGGATTTTACTATTTTCCATCATGATTTAGAGAAATATTTGATATCTAGCCTTGTGGCATTTTATGGAAATCAAGTGCGATCTCTTTCCTCGTTGTTTCGATTCTTCGCCTTTGCTCAAAAACTGGCTATAGATTGTCCTTTTCTTTTCTTTTTCGTTTCGATTTGTGATCTTTTAGGTGTCATCTCATTTGGCGGGGAAAAGTGTGAAGAGGCGTTTACGGTATAATATATTATTTATAAAGCATCACAAATCATATTTCTATGTGAGATAGTAGCAAGATAATCCATCAATTTCACTCGCACTCAACTCTGTACTCTATTTGTTTTATGCATGAGTTTTGTACGATAAACAACTGCTACAAAGTGATCGCCCAGCAATAGAAATTTGCGAATTTGGCACTTTGTTTATTGTTCTTCACATTCCGAGACCCATTCGTGTCGATTTGAGTCGTTAGATCTCATTCGTGTCATGTCATTCGTGTCATCTCATTCGTGTCATCTCATTCGTGTCATCTCATTCGTGTCAACTCATTCGTGTCATCTCATTCGTGCTGTCCTTCCATTCTCGAGACCCATATTTGTTTACGTTTTCTTTTAAAGTTCAAATAAACTGAAAGCAAAGAAGTATTTCTTTTGTAGAAGATCAAGAATTTAACAAAATATTTATATACAATTGAGGTGTGAATTTTCTACTTTCATTTTTTCGAGCTTAACTTCTGGAGTCGACGCAGGAGCTCCTGGCCGACAGCCGCTCGGACATGTGGAGGGAAATAGTGGGTCATCTTGCCTGAAAAAAGTTTGACTAGTGAAAATTTGATAGAAATTTTGTGAATCACCGTAATCTTACAATGACTTTTTGAACAAAAGTATTAGATTGGCAACTTGAAAGTTGGTACACTTTTAAGTTGGTAACACGTATTTTCCATAAAACATTTAATACGACAAGCCTAAGCTTTAAAACGAAATTGGATTACTTCAAAAAACCTCAAAAACACTAAAAGAAAGGATAAACTATCTAGTTTTCAAAGTTGAATCAGAGTAAAAAAGAAAACCGTTCAATTTAACAAATTTCAAATTTAAGCGTTGCATACAAAAATCCAAAATCATTCATCGTCCGAGTCATTCCGAGTCATTACGATTATGAGAGTCATTACGAGTCTACTGTATTCTAAGAGAAGGATACCCCTCAAATCGTTATCGCATCTTTCCAATGATCTCCGTGTCACCAATGTATCCTGTTATAAACACCAATATACACCGATAAATATCTCCTGTTTATCTTAAGGTCAATGGAAGAACTATTAGATTTTTATTAGAATTTTTATTAGATTTTTATTGGATTTTTATTAGATTTTTTATTATTATTTTATTAGAACTTGAAAATTGGTACGGATTTCGGATTAACCCAAGAAAAAAAAGACGGCCTTACAAATTTGCTTTTAAATAGCGCTATGATTAGATTGGCAAATTAAAAGTCGGTACACCTCTACGTATTCACCATAAAACATATTTAATGCGCCATTTGAATTAAACTTCTCGAAATAAAAGTTATATATTTTCTAATTTAAGACATATTTAAGCAAATTTGAACAACTTTTGCGACGAATTTGAGCAGAAATTCAAGTTTTTCTTGAAATTCTTTAAATAGAACGATAACATAAATGATTGATTAGATTTAGCTGAAAATTTGGCTATACATCTAACATTTTGTGCTCTATCTTTTTTCTATTTACACCAATATAGGTTTATGTGAAAGAAAGTGCTCAAATCGCTTCATCGAGTGCTCATCATTTTTGGTTCCTCAACTTCTTGCCCCCTCGAAACCTCCAAAAACCAAAGCTTTTCTAAATCGGTCAAAAGCCTATTTTAGAAAATAAATAGGCCTTTTTATTGGCAAAAACGGTAGATTAATTGGTGCACTAGTTATTTCTAAAAAGCACAATGCATAAGTGTACCAACTTTCAAGTTGCCAATCTAATATTAGGGTGATGGAAATGAAATCAGCGCTCACATATCTTTCCAAAAATAAATTGCATTCCAAGCCTCAGCCAATAAGTGTTGTATACTGTTCAAAAGCTCTGAATCTCCTCTATAAAATAGTGGAAAGGATTTTGAATTGAATTGATTATTGAAGACTTGGATGACTTTTAAGTCGAAAGGTCAAAAATGAGCATTTTCTGGAAAATGTATTTCTGGTAATGGCCATGCCCGGCTTTTCCGTTAGAAAATACCACCAATTAAAGTTATATGAAACTAACACAAAAGAACTCTTTTTGTTTGTTTGTCTTCTAGAGCTTCTGTTTTTGCTTCATTTTAGGCTTTTTCAGGCCACAAACGACCATTTTAGCTTTCGGTTTTAGGCCAACATCATCTCTGGCATTTTTCAATGCTTGAACCCGTTCACTCGTTTTGTTTGATGAGTTTCTTGCTGCCCCTACGGACCGAAATCCTTGGGATGAATCCAAAACACAGCGGCTCCCTTCAGCACCCTTTTACAGGCACTTGGGATCCCATTTCGACCGACGAAGAACTCGCCATAGTGGTCAAAATGAGCCGGGACTGGGTTGACCAATTCTACAGCCGAATTGGTTGGTTTTGGGAAGCGTTGACCACATGGGGCAGACAACGGATTGGTTACCGGATGACCCAAAATGGACGCTTCCGGTTTCAGGAGTGAAAAGGGAGTATATCCCCAGGCGTAGTAGGCCAGATCGAGTGCGATTGTGCTCGCGCACAGGGAACACATAGCGATCCTCTTTTGTGCATTTTAAATGGGTTTTCGCGGTTGGGGAATTGATTGACAGTGTTAGTTTTAGTGTTTTTCTTGTCCCAAATCAATGATTTCAATAAATTTCCCATTGAAGGATGCTTCTAACTTCTCAAGCAATGTCTCATCTCTTCTTTGTAGCTTATATTTTCCAATTTAAACTTTTTAAACTCATCATTTTTGGTTCCTCAACTTCTTGCCCCCTCGGAACCTCCAAAAACCGAAGCTATTCTAAATCTGTCAAAAGCCTATTTTAGAGAATAAATAGGCCTTTTTATTGGTAAAAATTGTAGATTAATTGGTGCACTAGTTATTTCTAAAAAGTGTAGCAACTTTCAAGTTGGTATCTAGTAGACAATCTAGTAGATCAATCTAATAGACACAAACCTCGATAACAAAAAACTTAAGGGATTTCGAAGACCGTTTTGTTATCAAGGTTTGTGTGCTATTGTGGCTTTAGCTATCGAGGTTTGACTGAATTTAGCTTGTATCACTTTAGATTGTATCACTAAAGTATTATTTTGGCAAGTTGTTTGTACAAAAGAATACGGTAGAAGTTGTTCGGCAGAGGCGTTGCAAACGGAACTAGGCTAGGTAAAGGCACTGGGTCAAGTCGTAAGTATAGCAATTTTATACTAATAGTAAGCCTAGTTTTGAGTCAGATCATGAGCCAGATCTAGGCTCACTATTAGTATAAAATTGCTATACTTACGACTTGGCCTAGTGCCTTGACTTGGCCAGATCTAGGCTTGGCTTGTTCAACTGAATTTCTCTAACAATTTGTCTAAAATCTTTGCTGTTCAGAGGCTTCTTGATGCCCAAAGGCTAAACACGATTTTTGATTCACTTAATGTTTATCAAAGCTAGTGTTTTCTAACTTCTGATTAAACTATTGAACTAACATTTTAACTGAAACTTTAAACAGCTAGAAAAAAAAACCTAAGCCTAAACTTTAAACTTTAAACCAATCCGAGTTTAGAATTTAATATTCGAATTATAAACTTTAGATTTTAGTACTTTGGGGATAATCTTTATAAGTTTACTACGTAAATTAACAAATTTAAGTTCATTTTATCATTTGATGAAACTTCCAAGAACCAATTAATTATAATCACGGGTTTTTCCCGCTGAATTTGGCGTCAGAGTCAAGTGAAATCAGAGCACACTTCTTTAGAAGTTCTTTTTGCATTTTATACTGATTTGTTCCCTAGAGATTTTATGATCAAGTTTTTAAAAAGAAATACAACTTTGAGGTAATGAGATGAAAGTGAGTGAAATACTGTACCTGATCCTAGTCGTTCTCCAAGATCCTCCCCATTGTAGAATTTGTTGAAATTGGGTCGGTTCGGCCAATTTGGCATCAAGTATTGGTGTCCTTGTTTCATGCCCGAATAGGGGAATGCTTCTGGAAAATAATAAAGGTAAAAATCTTTTGAAATAGTAAAGAAAGAAAGCTAAGTTTTTTTGAGTCCTGAATTCATAGTGGTTTTGGTTCTTCCTTATCTCCAGCTTTTTCCTTATCTCTAGATTTCCTCAAGATTCATTTCTAGCTGATTTTTGAAACAATATGTAATTGACTACGGTGGTTTGGTCTGTCGAATCAGAATTGAAAAATCTTTAACCGTTCTTGAGTAACGTTAAAGAAACTGGATTTGGTCTAGATTAAAGGGATTTAGCGGCGAGATGAAAAGGATAAAGCGGTGAGATCAAAGGAATTCAGCGGTAAGATCAAAAGCTATTTTAAAAGATGAATTTCACAATAATGACCTCACGATAATGCATCTTGAGCCTTGTTATGAGAGAATTAACTGAATAGCTTTATGATAAACTTTACAGAATTAAAGGTAATCAACAAATAAGGGTAATAAATACTAAATAATACCGTAAAGATCCATCCAATCCTCCTGTCTCACTACAGTATGCCTGAACAAAAAATGCAGGATGTTCAAGACTACACTTTTTCAAGACTACACTCTTTCTCTAGTGCGTAGCTCAGCCTAGAGTTACCCATTCCTCATAAAACTCTTTTGTTAGAATTTACTGCTTATTTTCAACACTTTACTTATTATACTTTACTCAGAAATTCAAAATTAGCAATTCTATAGCTATAAAACTTCAAATCTCCAAAACTCGAGAGCCTCTGGGATACGGATCCTTGTGACCAAATTTTGAATATCAATAATTACTAAAAAAAGTAGCAAACAGCTTAGGTTTTCTAAGTTTATAATTTAGATATTTACAAGTTCATCCAGAATCGAGTAGTCATTATTAAAGTAATTCTTTAAGTTCAAAATTTGATCACAAGGAGCCACGTCCCAGTTTTAAAGTTCCTCGAGTTTTGGAGATTTGAAGTTCTATACAATTGCTAATTTTTTGTTTCTGCTTAAATTATTGAAGTAAATTGTTAGAAATAAGCAATAAATTCTATCAAAAAGTTTGATAGGGAATGGTTAATTCTAAGCGGAGCTATGCACTAGAGAAAAAGTATCCGTAATTCTTGAAAACCCTGTATTCAACCAAAGAATAAACCCTTTTTGAATTCATTTAGGACAAGAAATTCAGACTCATTACTCATTACTTTTACTTTTTACTAGAATATTTTTAATTCAGCTGTCTTACTACAAGTATTGTCGTAAGACAAGTAACCGACAATGAGATTTTCCTTACAGATTGAGTTGAAGATGGCACCGAGACAAAGAAATCTTCATTTTACGGTACACCACAAACTCACAAGTCTTACTGCTCTAAAAAAACTTAAGAGCTAAAATTTTATTGATTGAAGACTTTACAATATCTTCAAGTTGAACAAGAAAGATTGGAGAAGTTGTTGTTTTTTGAGTTTCTTTACAAGACAAGTTGATTTTAGCCAGCATCTACTTCTTATAGGACTTTCAAACTTCGCTCCAAGCTTCTTATAGGACTTTCAAGCTTCTTATAGGACTTTCAAGCTTCTTATAGGACTTTCAAACTTCGCTTCTTATAGTACGTCAAACTTCACTCCAAATCCAACTTCACATCTACTTCTTATAGGACTTTCAAAGTCAAACTTCACTCCAAATCAAACTTCACTAACAGTTCTCATTCTAGAAATGCTTCAAAACTCACCAGCATCACCTTGTTGAACGATTGAACAAATAAAGAACACCGCCAACCACAGCATTTTAGCCATTTCTCTGAAGTGAAATGCGGAGGCGCAATCAAAGAAAAACCCTCAAATTAAGCCATTTTCAAAAGAATTTCAGGCAATTTTCAATAATTATATATAATTTTATTTCACTTTAAAGTAAAACGCAATCAAAACGAAGGAATTTCAAACGAAACGAATTTCAAACGAAACGAATTTCAAATGAAACAAGAAACAAATGAAACAAATGAAACAAATGAAACAAATTCATTAAGATAATAATGAGATTAGAAGAGAGAGAATACCCGTGAAAATTTGGTTTAATGAATGCAAAATGAGGGCAAAGAATTAGATGTCAAATAAAGTATTCAGGACACGAAAATCTTGAAGAAATTTGCAGAAATTTGCAAAAATTTGCAAAAACTAATCTGTTAATTGAATAGTAGAGAGAAAAAATTATCCTTTAGATTTGGGGATTGTTCTGTGAAATGTTCGCATTGTGATTTACGTTTGAAAATGACTTTCTGCTTTCTGTAAGACTTTTTAGATCGCCTAGATTTAGATATCTAGTTCTATTTTCTACTCTTATATCACAAAAACAACGACAGTTTACTAGTTTACTAGTTTGCTAGTTTTACTAGAGTGTTTTCCTCGCGAGTAAGTAAATACTCGAGTAAAATGTGCATCAGTGCAATCTTTACTCGATTAATCGGCGTTTTTTGGTCGAGCAAGCTACGAGTAATCCTCTTTACAAGAAATAGGATAGGGAAAGACCCCGTTTCATCTATAAAATGCTAATAACTTTTTCTAATTATTTAAAATTAGCATAATTCAATAACACAGAACAAAATGAGACATATTTGCGAAATCTCAAAATAGCCGAGTTTTCATTTTTTTTCAAAGACGGCTACCCATTTTTCGCCAAATACCGGAAATCAAAATTTTTTCTGAAAACCTCAAAAGTTTTTAAAGGCTATTGAGGTTTTGCAGCTCTGGTTCTAGGTAATTTTGAAATTCTAAAATCTTTTGAAGCTTTTGAAGCTTCAAATCTTTAAAAGCTCAGAGTTTAACGATCATGTTTTGGAAAAATGAATGTTTAAAGTAAAAATTTGAGTTAATCATTTAATTGTAAGTTTAAAATGTTTCAAGAATGATATTTTGAGCTCTTTTAAATTAGACTTTAAGGTCTTTTAAGTTAAAATTTCCTTTTAACAACCCACGTTTAGCTATATAAATGAAAATTTTCATTAATGAGAGAATCAAAGGAGAATCCGGGGGTGCGACAAATGCGACCTTTTTTTTGCGCACCTGGACATTTGCGCACCTTTTTTTGCTGGAAAAGGCCTTAGGAAAGGCCGTAGAGCTTCAAAAATGTTTTCATAGAAGAGAATCGTATGCGTAGATTCCGAATTTCGACAAATCAGACCTCGCTGACACGTCAAATTTGGGCTAAAAGGCAAAAACTACGCAACTTAACGCTTTGCCGCAGTTTTTGCCTTTTAGCCCAAATTTGACGTGTCAGCGAGGTCTGATTTGTAGAAATTCGGAATCTACGCATACGATTCTCTTCTATGAAAACATTTTTGAAGCTCTACGGCCTTTCCTAAGGCCTTTTCCAGCAAAAAAAGGTGCGCAAATGTCCAGGTGCGCAAAAAAAGGTCACATTTGTCCTACCCCCGGCGAATCTTGAAAAGGAAAGAATTTCCTAAATAATGAGATGTGCAAATGACGGAGTCCCGGGAGGAAAAAAAGTGAAAGAGATTAGATTTCCGGGTGAAAATCAACGGGTAATTGGGCTGAACAAAGACGATCGACGAGGCGGCCATTTAGAGGACTGCGGGGAATTGAAGAAGTTGTTGAGGGAAGTGAATGTGAAGAAATGAGTGGAGGACGAGTGGTGAGTGGGAAACGGATGGAGGTGGACGAGGGCGGAAGGGGAGGGAGGGCTTCGCGCGGGAGGGACACCTGTAAGCACAAGATCTTTTATTAGATTCTTTTATTTTATTAGATTCTTTTATCTTTTATTAGATTAGCTATCTCTTTTCATTTTTGTTTGTTGTTTTCATGTTTTCATGTTTTCTAAAACGTTCCCAACTTTTGAAAGCACAGAATAATCCAAAGATTCCCATGCTTTTGACTAAACTAACTAACCTTTGACTAAACTTGATTTTGAGGAAAGCTATTCAACTAGCTTTTTTAGCTATTCAGCTAGCTTCCTTAAAATTAAAAACCTTAATAAGATTAGACTTTTAAACTAATCAGGAGCCTATAGCTCTATAGGAGCTACATGACCTGGGTCAAGTACATGACCTGGCTCAAGTACATGACCTGGCTCAAGTACATGACCTGGCTCAAGTACATGACCTGGCTCAAGTACATGACCTGGCTCAAGTACATGACCTGGCTCAAGTACATGACCTGGCTCAAGTACATGACCTGGCTCAAGTACATGACCTGGCTCAAGTACATGACCTGGCTCAAGTACATGACCTGGCTCAAGTACATGACCTGGCTCAAGTACATGACCTGGCTCAAGTACATGACCTGGCTCAAGTACATGACCTGGCTCAAGTACATGACCTGGCTCAAGTACATGACCTGGCTCAAGTACATGACCTGGCTCAAGTACATGACCTGGCTCAAGTACATGACCTGGCTCAAGTACATGACCTGGCTCAAGTACATGACCTGGCTCAAGTACATGACCTGGCTCAAGTACATGACCTGGCTCAAGTACATGACCTGGCTCAAGTACATGACCTGGCTCAAGTACATGACCTGGCTCAAGTACATGACCTGGCTCAAGTACATGACCTGGCTCAAGTACATGACCTGGCTCAAGTACATGACCTGGCTCAAGTACATGACCTGGCTCAAGTACATAACCTGGCTCCAGTACATGACCTGGGTCAAGTACATGGCCTGGGTCAAGTACATAACCTGGCTCCAGTACATGGCCTGGGTCAAGTACATGGCCTGGGTCAAGTACATGGCCTGGGTCAAGTACATGACCTGGGTCAAGCTCAGCTTTTTTTATATGTTTAACCCTTTGAGCCGCGCAGTGGCTGAAATTAGTCAACTTCCAACATTTCTACAAAAACAAAGTTTTTACAATAAAATTTTCCCATGAAATGATCCCCAACTCTTAATTATTTTGAATGATATTTTAGGGCCGTCATTTTCCACTATATAGTCAAAACCGAACTCTTGTGAAAGTGGGGTTTTCAAAAAGTGTCCTTTTTTGGTCACTCGCTTTCTCACTCATTTCGCCCTCGAAATTTCTTCAATGGTTTGATCAATTGAAAGACGTTTTAGCCTATTTTGTAGAGGAGATTTACAACTTTCAAATAGTTTATAACATTCATCGATATCAGGTTTCTATCGTTGGAAATTTAATGTTGAAATCCGTATTTCCGAAATTCGAAAATGTTGAAATCCGTATTTCTTATTCATTTACCTAATAGTTGCTCAAAACTGAAACAGGGTTTTCTGAAAAAATGCACCTCTTCTTATTGCTACAATTTACTTTTTCTAGCATTACTGGCTAACTAGAGCACTACTGAGCTACCACTAATGGCTAACTAAAGCATTTCCTAGCACTAACTTTGTAAAGCACTAACTTTGTAACGAACTTTCAAATTGAGGTACGATGAGGCTTCTATAAAAACTGTTTTTGAAAAGTCCAAAAGCTTTGCTTTGCTTAATCCAAAAACTTTGCTTACCTTCTCTAAGCAATCCTTTTCACATTTCCCAAATGAAAGTGAATGACTGCAGGAGACTTCTTGGGGAGTTCGAAAAAAGGATTTTGTCCTCTCAATGTACTCGTGACATCGTCGAATCACCAAGAATGCATAAATCTAAAGAAATAAACATTTTGTGCTAATGGTAAGGTTGAATTTTTGAATTTAAACAATCATTTTCTTGACTTGCCTTTAAAAAAGTGGAGACTAACAAAAATGCCATTGTGATGTAAGCAAAGCGAATGTATGGAGCTATTGACGGTTCGTCTGAATATTATTTTCATGTTTTATGTTTTAAGTCATAGTTTGCCGAGTCATTTAAATGTAAATTAAACACTTAGAATGGTACACTACTGGACTGGAATGGTACACTACTGGAATATCATATTTGAAAAACGATCGTCACTTTCGCACGTCTGTAACTCCCTTGTCTTTACCGTATTTCTAAATATTAATATTACAATTGTGTAGCCCTTGAAAAGAGCTTTCAGAAATTGTATTAGGTGTGTGAAAAAGTAATCCACGTTTTTTATTTTTATTTTGTTTAAATAAATATATCTAAACAATTTTTAATTTTTTTGTTAACGATATATATATCGTTTAAAAGCTTATTTTTCCTCTTTCGAATGATATATTCATTTTGTTAAAAGGACGACAATAAACTACTTTCATTTTAGTTTGTAAATGGTATACACAAGTATCGTTATTCGGTCAAATTTGCTTTATGAGTTATGAGTTCAAAAATGGGTTGAAAGCTGCGGAGGCTGCAGGTCGAACTCGGAATGCGTCTGGCGAAGACGCCGTTACTGATGATACCGCTAGGTTTGGTTCCAACGATTCAAAGGTGGTAATGAAAACCTAGAAGATGAACCACGTGGCGGTCGCCCTGAGACCTGTTCGGATGACCAAATAAGACGCTGTCTTCTCGAAAACCCTCGTTCAACCTCTTCAGAAATAGGTCTTACATTAAATTGTGATGGGTCAACCGTAAGGAAACGCTTGAATGCCATGAATTTGATCAAGAAGTTGGACAACTGGATACCGTATAGACGTTAAAAACGTGGATTACTTTTTCACACACCTAATATAACACTAATTGTTTAAACTCAAAGACAAGGGAGTTACAGAGGCGCGAAAGTGACGATCGTTTTTCAAATATCATATTTCATTGTCCAGTACTGTAGATACTAGTAGACAAACCTCCAGCGAATAAGTACATGAAAGTAAGGCTGAAAAAAGAGGTCAAAAAGATCGCAATTCTGATCACAACCCCGCACATGTAAACGAGCAATAATGATAAGCGGAACTCTCGAATTCCTGGAATTATTTTATTTATTTAAAACTTTTTCTATAGCTTTGACACTTTGACAAACCTTTAACCAAGTGAATGACCAAAATGATCTGCAGAATGACGGTGAGGAAACCGAGCAAGATCGTCATTGGATTCCAGCCACCTGAAAAGCACTTTCCATCAAGAAGTCATCGAAATTTGCATTTTTATTGATTAACCTGTTAAAGGTCTTGAAGGTTAAAGGCAAAAACCTGTTAAAGGTAAAAACTAATGGTCTTGAAGTCGCGGATTTGATAAAACGGAGATCACCAAGCAACGAGGTTCTCTAGTGATCTAATTCTTTGATTTAAGTCTAATTCTTTTAAATCAAGGTTAATCTACTTGTTAAAGGTTAATCTACAAACATTTTCGCTATTATTCTAAAGTTTTATCAACCAACCAGTGACAGCTTGAGCCGCCCAAAAGGAGACTTGACTCGTGATCCACATCATTTCTCCGTAGGCGATCCACATGGCTCCAGTCTAGATTTTCTAGATTTAATCGACGAATGTCACAGCGAGCGATAGCTTAAAGAAGCCTAAAGAAGCTTAAAGAAGCCTAAAGAAGCTTAAATAAGCTTTAAGAATCTTAAAGAAGCTCAAAGAAGCTCAAAGAAGCTTAAAGAAGCTTAAAAAAGCTTAAAGAAGCTTCAAGGAGTTTAAAGAAGCTCAAAGAAGCTTAAAGAAGCTTAAAAAAGCTTAAGGAAGCTTAAAAAAGCTTAAAGAAGCTTAAAGAAGCTTTAAGATTGCTTGCAAGGAAGCTGAATTTTTGCTAGAAAATCGAAAAACTCACCCGAATATGCATAATCTGAAAGCAACAAACTGGTGACGGCAACTCGCGTGGTCGAGGATAGACCCCGAAAGCTGATGGAGAAAACTCTTTCTCGCGGGGTATCACCATCTAAAAGAATAAACAGAAAATGTTCAAATAGGCTTGGATTTTGCTTTACTGATTTTGCTTTGCTGCTTTTGCTTTACTGATTTTGCTTTCTACGTAAATTTTGTTTTGCTTAGATTTTTAAGCCATCGATTCTTGGCAACAAAACTAATGATCTTGAAGTTTAAAACAGATCATTAACTAGGGAAATACATCAGCTCAAGGGGCCCTTTAAGCCTTTTAAGCCACCTTGAGCCCTAGGGTTTCATAGAATTGTCTATGTTGATTCTGAATATGCTTTTATTTTTTCTAAAGGACGTCTGTAACGCGATATATCTGGCATTGAAGTCTAGATTTTTTCGAGATTTTTATTCAAAGATTTCCGGAGTCCTTATAAGCTTCTGTGTTCCTTAAAAAGAGAGCTAGTGGCGCAGTGGATAGCGTGGATTTTCCTCCGGGAATCTTTTGCCCGGGTTCGAGTTCGTTTCCAGTATATTCTTTTTGCTTTCTTTTGAGAAAATGATTAGAAAATGTTTAAGGCATCAAAGTCTAGAAAGATTAGAAAATGTTTAAGGAATTGATTTATTTTGACTTTCATTAGCGGAAGAATGTTTAGAAATACTTTAGGAACATAAATGCCGATCAGCATAGCCGATCAGATAGCCAATAAATGCCGATCATCATAGCCGATCAGATAGCCAATAAATGCCGAACAGCATAGCCGATTCTATAAAACCCCATGGCTTTCGTGGTCACCTTGATCTGGTACCTTTCCCTAGTAAGCAACGAGGTTCTCTAGTGATCCAATTCTTTGACTTAAATCTAATTCTTTCAAATCAAAGCATGAGTTCACTGAAAAGAAAAGTTGATTGTCGAAGCTTAACTAAAACTGTCGAAGCTTAACTACAAACATATTGTTCGGGAGTGCATATTCCGAGCATGAGTCTTGGTGGAAGTTGTGGGGCGAGTCGAGGGGAATCCATTTCTTTCCCTCCGCTCGACTTGCTTATGAGTCTAAGCCATAAATTTTCTTTTTCAGAAATACTTGAAAATTTGAGATCAAAAAGACAATAAAAGCTGTTGAGAACTTTATAATGAAAGGAAAAATGAAATGAAATGAAAAAATGAAATGAAATGAAAGGAAGAAATTTATAAATGAATATGTATATGTTGTGTCCGATTTAGATTACAGTCTATAAAATAAATAGAAATTTTTAACTCGTTCGTTGTTGTTGTTGTTGGCTTTTTGTTGCTGTATGTTGTAATTTCGCATCTATTCTGTTAACGCTAATAAATTGTTTCATAGTTGGGTTTTCTTTTCAGAAAAAGACAGTAACAGACCTTTGAAAAATGCAGAAAACTACAGAAAACGCTTAAGAACATATATTAAGCATGTTTATATTATTGTTCAATCTATATAAGACGTATTATTGTTCAATCTATATAAGATTTAGATTGAATCTAAATTGGACGGAAATCTAAATCGGACACAACATATATAAAAAATATATTAAAAACTTTATAAACACTTTATAAATGAATGAAATTTGCAAAGTTTCATGCAAAGTTGCAAAGTTAAGAGAAAAGATGAAGGATGAAGGCTTTAAAATAAAGTTATTGCTGAAAGTTTCACCATAACACCTTTGAAAATTGATTCGTTTACAAAAATCGAGTATAAAAAGTAGAATTCAAATTGTTTAGAAAGAGATTTTGACATCAAAACTCATAGAATTGAACTCATAGAATATTTAGAATGATTTCAAAGCCGGAATAAATTTCCGATGGTGTTCTGGCAAATGTTTTCCCGAAATCTCATTACAAAGTCTTTTAAGGAATGAACTACCAGAAAAAAGCTCCCAGGTACATTTGGATAAAGAGAATATTTTTGGAAATAGATCCAGAGAAGGGCCTTATCCCCCAGGGAACACAACTTGAAAGAGATTCCACACAGATCCAACGCAAAGAGCTTTTAAAGGATGGGAATTGAGTCTTTAAATGACTGAATCTGGTAGAAAAAAAGGTTGGGATTGGGTTACATTTGGTGAAAAGAAATTGGTGAGATTTAAGTTTAAGTAAAATTCTAATCTCTGATGTTTTTCATAAAATTTTTGTGAGCTTTCAACTCTTTTCTTCGTTTTCAGCACAAGCTATTTGTCAATTGGTTAAAGTCTGCTGACTTTTACTGAAAAACAACTTTTCAATGCATGTTCAATTAGCTCTCGACAATTAGTTTGGTTTTTCTGAGGATCTTGCATCTTTTCTTTTGCTTTTCTTTTGCTTTTCTTTTGCTTTTTCTTTTGCTTTTTCTTTTGCTTTTCTTTTGCTTTGCTTTGCTTTGCTTTTGCCTTGCTTCTCTTCTGCTTTTGCTTTTGCTTTTCTACTGGATCCCGGCGCCTGCTTAATTTTAGGTTAACGACTGAATTAGTCTTTGTATGAAGTTGTAAACTAAGTCTTGACCCTTTCTTTTTGAAAGGAACACATTCTAATCATTGTTGTATTTTGTAGGCTGTTGATTTTTCTCTAACAATCTAAAATCGCTTTTTTAATCGTCTCACTTTCAGCTATGGCTCAGAACAACGGCTCAGAACTGATTTGTGAACTTGATGGGATTGATGGACTTGTTGAACTGAATAAATTAAATGAATAAACAACGTGTGCACTGAACTAGAAAGCTACAACTATTTGGTAATATTAGGTTTGGTACTATTTGTAAACGAAGTCTTGACTCTCTCTTAAATTGTTGATATCTCAGCGTAGAAACAGTATATTTTAATGAGATTTTAAACGGATTATTCTCAAAATCTTACAAGCTTAATGCCAAAATTATAAAGCTGTTCAGCGATTAACGACCAAGTTATAGCAAAAAGACGGCGCGAGGGCAATTTTTTACCTCTAAGTGCTAAATTCAAAAATACGAGCACATGAGAAAACAATACAAATTTTGTTCTATTACATTTAAAACTAGAATAATGTAGATACTTTCAGAAAAAGTTTCAAAACTCTGATCAAAGTTTATTTTATTTTTATAGAAAGCTAAACTTTATCTAGCTGTTCCTTGAAATCGCTGAAATCTTGATATTGCTATTTCATCAAAACTACTACGTTATACCTAAGTTTTTACCAAATGAAACATTGCAATACACTGCAGCATTAAATTAGAATCAAAGATAACTCTTTGAAAGCTACTTGTGTTAGATTCTGTGCTAGATTTTGTGATGCTAGATTGCTACAAATTTTTATGCAGTCTAACAAGACTATAAGCTTACAATATATCTAAAATAATTGACGGGAACAAGGACGCCCAAGGTGAAACGATTTGTGGTCACTCAATCTTGTGGTAAAGAGAATTGTAAGTTTTGAGTCTTGCTTGGAAGTCTTGATTGGAAGTCTTGATTTATTGCCATAGTCATTGTCAGCCGGCTGAAGCTATTCGCTTTCAGCTCAAACCTATCTTCGTGTCAATAGATAAAAGATAGAGCATAAAAAGGTTTGCATATAGCCAAATAATAAACCACTTTTCCAAGATTTTCTGGTAAAATTATCTATAATGACTTCATTTTAAAGCAATGAAGCTTTCATTTTAAACTTTGCAACTTTAGCTCATTATCAGACGACAGCCATCAGTCAGACGTTAAATCATCATCAGTTTTTCACATTAGGATTAGGCTTAGGCTCAGGCTTAAGCTCAGGCTTAGGCTCAGGCTCAGGCTCAGGCTCATGAATCCGCTCATTAATCCGCTCATTAATCCGCTCATGAATCAAATTCGCTCATGAATCAAATGCGAGTCGAGTGACCGGAAATGAAAAACATGCAGGAAGTGGGTGAGGGGAAATCGGAAACCCGAAAAAATTGCCGAAATTGTTGCAAGAGTTTCGAAAACAAGTTCAATTCGGAAATAATTTCATGTAAATATTTGAAAAACTAGGGCTCAAGCTAATAAATTCTCAGCTTTCTAAAGCTTTTAAAGCTTGAAGTTTTGAGATTTTAAATTTGAGATTTCAAAGCTCACCTTTTGATAAAAAGCCGATGAGAAGCGCCGAAGCATCTCCATTTGATCGACTTTGAATTTGATCGAATGAGGAAAACGATTCTGACTTTGTGTCAGCAAAAACACAATTGGATTTCCAACCCAGGAAATCCAAATCCCAGAAATCTGTGAGTGCGAATGTGCTTTTAATTGAGTAGTCAATTGGTCGACTCTCTTTTTCTGATGAAAAGGATCTAGAAAAAAAGACCCTTTCCTCGTTTATCGCTTTGTTTTTTTGGAGAAGACAAAATGTAGAAATTCACGAAAATGGAAAGACGTAACGATGATTAGAAAAACAGACTTTGAAGTGATTAGCTTGCTAAGCTTGCTTGCTAAGCTTGCCTGCTAAGCTTGCTTGTTAAGCTTGCTTGTTAAGCTTGCTCGCTCGCTTGCTAAGCTTGCTTGCTTGCTAAGCTTGCTTGCTAAGCTTGCTTGCTTGCTTGCTAAGCATTTCAAAGTTCAAATTTATAACTTGACAAACTTTATAATGATCTGTAAAAATTACCTGTAAAAATTCAGCTGAAAGTTCAAGAAAATTAGCTTTTATAGATCCAATAATTTCAAAATACTATCGCTCAACGTATGATCATTCCCAATTTCATCTAGCCAAAGCGGCGCTAGCTGAATAGCTGAATATTTTATTAGGATAAACGGGTCATCACTCTCACTGAATAGCTTCAGTCTCTTTTACTCAGAAATTTCACTAATTGGGTACCCGTAAAGGCCCGTAAAGGCCGTTAAAGGCTTTCTGGGTAATATCAGTTTTCGAGTCTAATAAAGGTTATCTTGTGAAAAGTCTATTTCACAAAATGCGTAGATTTCTGGGCAAAGTTGAAGCTAAAAATCAACAAAAAGCAAACAATGATACTATGAGTTAATCAAATATTTATTAAAATATCTTTCAACGGTTTTTAGTGCCATCCTGAAGCTAGTCAGCCAGGCAATCAGCTCCAAAACGTTGAAAAATTCGACCGCACACAATCGTGTTCAGCAGAGAACCTGATCAAAATGTAGCCAAAATGAAAGCAATAGAGAGTTACCATTCACTCAAATCTTCATACACTTTCTCGTGCGGGTTCTGCATGAGAGCACACAAGCGACAGTAAAATCTCGTGTCCACAAAGCTGTACTCGGTGCGCCACGCGTGGAACTTTTCCAGGAGCTCTTGTGTGGAAGCGACGAGTTTCAGGAATCTGAAAAACAGCTGATAGAAATTGTTTTGGCGGACAACAAATGCTCTTGCTTACAAGGGAATCACACTAGCTCGAAGTTCAAAATCGCTCCGTGACCGAGTTTTCTAACAATGAAATTAGATTGACTTTAGTAATTGCTAGAGAGGTTCTAGTCAGAACCTTCTAATCATATGCTAATCAAAACTAACAAGGGTTCTGATCAGAACTCAGAACTGACACTAGCTCGAAGTTCAAAATCGCTTCGTGACCGAGTGCATCTCATAGAATCGGCTATGCTGATTCCGAATCTGTAAAAATTAGCTGCAAACACCCACGCAATCGCAAGTAATCTGGCATAGAAAATTCCCTGAAATTTCGGAATCTTACGGGCGCCACAAAGAAACTTCTCAATGGCTTCGGTGGTCAAGCGGAGTGTGTGTTAGCCTACAGAGCTTATGAAGTTTTTGGGCTTGAGTTCGAGTCCTCCTCTGTCCGATTCTTTTTGCTTTTTTGGAATACTCTTTTTCGGATATCTTTGCATACATAAAGCTTGCAATTCACAAATTAGTTCATGATTAACTTTGATTCTTTATTAACACTGGTAACAAAAGCAGTGTTTTTTGTAAAACAAAGAAGTTTGTTTTTGCAAAAAAGCGCAAAGTTTTGCTTTTTGGTTTTTTTGCACCTAGCTTTTCATTTTGAAGTTACGTCTACGTTAAAATCTACGTTAAAAGTCTACGTTAAAATCGAAAAACTATTTTGAGAGTTACAAGTTTTATGAACACCGCTAGAAGTTGTAAAAGGGTGCATAAAACATAAATTTTTAACGCAAAGGATATCAGAAAAAGTATCGGACAGAGGAGGATTCGAACCCAAGCCCAAAAACTTCATAAGTTCTGTAGGCTAACACACTCTCCGCTTGACCACCGAAGCCATTGAGAAGTTTTTTTGTGCCCCATAAAGAGTCCGAAATTTCGGGGAATTTTCTATGCCAGATTCCTTGCGATTGCGTGGGTGTTTGCAGCTAATTTTTACAGATTCGGAATCAGCATAGCCGATTCTACGAGATGCACTCGGTCACGAAGCGAGTTTGAACTTCGAGCTAGTGCCATTCCCTTGTTAGTTCTGATTAGCATGTGATTAGAAGGTTCTGATCATAATTTCTCTAGCAATTTCTAAAGTCAACCTATTTTATTGTTAGAAAACCACCGTAATCAAACTGTTAGTTTACATAATTCCAAGTCAAAAGAACCCAATTCAATCAAAAGCTTTTGGGAGCCAAAGTCTAAGCCAAACCTTGCCAACTCCTTGATCGAGGGGAATTGAGAGATGTGAACAAAGGAATCTTTTGGAGCGATCTTTTGATAGAATTCTAATGAAGCCCCAAAAACGATCGGAATGGCGCCAAAGCTAAACATTGACTTCGACTAAACATTGACTTCGATTAAACATTTGGCCGATTAAACATTGGCCGACTAAGCATCGACTTCGACTAAACATCGACTTCGACTAAGCGTCGACTTCGACTAAGCATCGACATGTTTTAAAACGAAACTACCGTAACGCTTGAAAGAATTTCTCCGTCACGTAATCCCGGCAATTTGAATTTTCGAAAGCAAAATAGAATTGGTAATCGTTTCGGAGAAAACTCTCGGCTTGTCGCTGGGTGATCGCTCGGTTGGTGCAAGAGCCGTAGATGTCAATCTGAAGCTGAATTTTGTTCAAAAAAGTATTAATTTATCCAAATCGGCGCAGATTGGCATAATTTTCCAAGGTGTTTGATCAATTTTTGTTCTTAAGCCGCCCCAAACTCACCTCAACATATTTCCGCAGCTCTTTCACGATTCCCATCCGATCGTTGATCGTCACACAGTTCGACACAAACCAAGCACCCAATTTTTTCTTTTCTAAAGTTTTCAGCGAAGTGTAAGCTTTTCAAGTGCAAGTGTTAACAAAAGCTTTTAAAAAAATCCCAACTTGGTATGTAAATTTGTTTCTTTGATGGCCCTTTGATCACTTTTCCATAAGGAATCACAAAATCGGCATCCCATCGATAGCTTGCCGTGAAGTTTATCTGGAAATTAAAACTTTAAAAAAAAAACAACGTACTTTTCTTAACAACTTACTTTTCCATTCAAAAACTTCAATTTTTGAGTGTTTTCTGGGCTTTCTAATAATCGGAGTACGGTGATTTGTGAAGATTTTGGGGAAGGTCTCATGTCGAAATCTTCAGGCGAGAGGTACAAAACGTCGGCTGTGGAAAATTTTGATTCTAAAGTTTAGAGCTACAAGTTTTTTTTTACAAATTACGATATTTGCTATCCAGCTGTCCAAATTTTAAAGAGCTACAAGATTTTTACAAATACAATTACAATATTCCAGTTATTCAAATTTCTACACCGTGGACAGGATTATTGCAACCGGAATCAATGTTATTTCAGGGAATCAATGTTATTTCCAACAACTATCTCGACACACTCAAAAAATGATCTTTTTCCGTCAGCCAAAAACCACTTTTGTAATAGGATTTAGTGTTTGATACAGGATGATGCTTATGCTCAAAAGGCTTGAGTGACTTAGGACTAGCACAAGCAGCATTTCCCTGATTTGGCCACCTTTATTAGCCCTCAAGTCCCGATCTTAATCCGATGGATTTCAGTGCTTGGAATGTTCTTGAGGAAAAAAGTGCTTAAAACCTCATTCCAGGGGGCCCAGAAAGGGAAGGGTCTGTGGTCGACCCCGTCCGATCTGCCAAGTTGAGCAGCGTCGGCGCGGGTTAGTCATGGGTTCGACTCCCATGGGTTCCCCTCCGAGCGCCCCAGCCCGGCCATCGGAGTATCATCGGCTACGACAACTACACTTCTGCCTCAGTAAATGTGGAAGCGGGTTGTGATCTGCGCTAAGTGCGAAGACAGATCAAATCATTATTACCGCATTCCAGTATCTATCCGCTTCAGAAATCTCTACAAAAAGCACGATAAACTCGAGCCAACGTTAAGCAAGTCTACCGCTTACCATTTGGTCACTTACTAGACTTGCTTATCGATATTATCGATACAAACGGTAAGCTCATGTTTGACCGTTTAGATCTCGGTTTTTAGAATAGCTATCAATCTGAAGATTGTTCCATTGAAAAGCCAAGAATGTCAGCTTTTGATCGCTATGGTTATACATATCGTCTTTTAGCAAATAAGCACCTCATTAACCGTATCGATACTTATCGATATCGAAAGTATCGATTATCGCTAAGCTTATCGATATTTGAGTATCGAGTATTGATAAGCTTTTTAAGGCATTCACCTATGAGAATTTGGTATGTATAAAATAGCAATTAAAAGCTGACATTCTCGGCTTTCTAATGAAATAATTTGCAGATTGATAGCTGTTCTAGAAACCGAGATCTGAATGGTCAAATTTGAGCATGCCGTTTGTATCGATAATATCTATAAGCAAGTCTATTTGGCTCTTAAGGTAACGGGTTACGGCAATTTTTCCTTCTTTTAGAAAAGCATTTGTCAAAAAGAAGAAAGCCTAGATAAATGTGCAAATTGCAAAAAGCTCACTCGTAGGCAAACTTACACGAAATAAATCGTTTTCGAGATGCGCGCTCTGCTGGCATAACTTACCCAGTTTACCTTTTTTTCACAAAGTTACTTAAGGTTACTCATTAAAAGTCGCTATGTATAAAATAGCAATCAAAAGCTGAAATTCTTGGCTTTCCAATGAAATAATTTGCAGATTGATAGCTGTTCTGGAAACCGAGATCTGAAGGGTCAAACATGAAAATGGAGCACCGAAAAATTTTTTGGAGGTTTAATTTGTTGATAAAACACGTTTTTAAACAAAAATCATCGCATAGCGCCAAAAAAAATTGAGAAAAACGTTAAGCAAGTCTAGCGCTTACCATTTGGTCACAGTGGATACAAATCTCACAAGGCATTTTACCCATAAAGATCTTTTTAAAAGGAAATAGTTTTTCTTGTTCTTCTTGTTTAATATATCTTTAAAAAGGTCTTTAAAAATTAATTGTTAAAGGAAAAAGGGGAAAAGGAGAAGGAAAAGGAGAAGTTTTTGAGTTGATTTCTGTTTTATCGGTTTTTATCCTTTAAAAATATTGGTTTGAATAATCCTGTCACATCTTGTAGATTCCCTGTAAATTCCCTGTATATCTCTGTATATTCCCACCATTAACGGTGATGAAACAATTGCTCACTCGACAACCAGACTCATGAAAGTAACGATAACCCAACGGAATCTCTCGATCGATATTTGATGATTTGAAAATTATCACAGGGCTTTGCTTTGGCTAAATTTTATTGTTTTGTAGTTTTCAAGCATTACCATTACCAGCATTTCACATTGGGACATAAACAATGAGCCTGAGCCTAAGCCTAAGCCTAAGCCTAAGCCTAAGCCTAAGCCTAAGCCTAAGCCTAAGCCTAAGCCTAAGCCTAAGCCTAAGCATTACCTTCGATTTATAATTCAATTGATTCCAGATTCTGTCATTCAACTCCAACAGTTCAGAACTTGGCGCATCTTCGGGGTAAACGAGAGAGTCCAAAATGTGAGTTGGTTTCAGTTTGATCAGATAAATTAGCTAAAAAGTTGTTTGAATACAATTTGATGCTTGAATTTGATGATAAAATGATGATAATCTGCGTACATTTTCAATCTCAGCATCAAAAATTTGTTGATAAAGAGCTACTGTAAGGGTACAAGGTCGCATAAAACCGTTAAACATTAAACATTAAACATTAAACATTAAACATTAAACATTAACATTAAACATTAACATTTAAACATTAACATTGGCATTTAAACATTAGCATTAACACTAAACATTAAACATTAAACATTTAAACAGTTTTCCTAATGATTTTACTTATAAACTTACCAATAAACTTGATGATATCAATAAAAAGAGAAAAAGTAAAGAAACGAAAAAGCTGGGTCTCATTTTGGAGCATTTAGAGCAACATTTAGAGCAAGACAAAATGCAGAAATGGTTGTAAAGCTTCAAATATCGAATATTCGACTTGTTATTTTAGTTGAATTCTTTAGCTTTAGCTCTTTAGCTGAATAATAGCTGGATAATAATAATAGCTGAATAATAGCCAACAAAATATTAGGCAAAGATCTTGTAGTCGAATTTTGAGGTCGAATAAATGTTGTGATTTCGAAGTACCTCGATCATTGCCAAGCGAAAGAGTGACCCTTTGAAGAGTCCGTAAATTTCGTTACTCTTTCTCTTTCCATTTCCCCCAATTTCCCATCTTTTCTCAAATCATGATGAGGTTCCCTTCCGAGACAATGAATGATGGACATTGTGGGAAAAGGGAAAGTGAAAGGGGAAAAGGAGAAGAGCCTCTAATTCCCCTACTTCTTTCTCTTCTCCCCTCCAATTATTCTTCCCGCCTTGTTTGAGTGGACCCTTATGTAATCGGATGAGTCAATCAGAGTAGACGAAACAGAAAGTTACCGTTTTACCGTTTTGAGAACTTTTTTGGATAAAGAAATTAAAAAGAAATGTAAAGAACTAAAGTAAAGTACTATTGGGTTGTCCAGTTACGAATGCGCGTTTTTACGATTTTGTAAGTTTCCCAAGATATCGAACAGATGTATATGAGTGTGATATATCATTCGAAAGCTGAAGGTCTCCTCTACATTTTGGGATAAAATAGTTTTCAAATTCATTCAACTTTTTGGGAAATTGACTGCACAAAGGGAGAGGTCGTTTCCGAAAAAACCCATTTCAGCTTAGCTATTCCTCAAGCTTTATGGTGTAAAATAACCGCCTAGAAAAGAAAAGAAAAGTAAAGATGCTCTGAAATTGTTATATTTTAAAAAAAAAGTTGTATTGATATATCTATTGGCCAAACATCAAACGGGTAACTCAATTTAAGCGGAGCCAAAACTTGATCCAAAGGCACCCTTCCATTTTAGGCCAGTTAATCTTCTTCTGTGCAGTCAATTTGCCCAAAAGCTGAACAAATTCAAAAACTTTTTGTATCAAAATGTAGAGGAGATCTTCAGCTTTCGAATAATACTCATATATATCTTTTTCTTGATTTCGGTATCTTGAGAAATTTACAAAATAGTAAGAAAACGCGCATTCATAACTGGACAACCCAATAATTTAAAAATTTGTGTGTATTTAGTTACTTAAAGTCGTACAAAAGCACAAACTGGACTTCATAACTGGACAACCCAATAGTAACGTAACAATTCGGTAACAATTTCAGTCAAAAACAGATTCCAAAAATGAAAGCAAATCTTTAGCTACCAGAAAACGCTTTCCTTAAACTTTCCCAGTCAATTTTAACTTATGAATAACTTTAGAAGTTGATTTATCAAAGAGTTCAGTACTTTATCCAATAACTCTTATAAAAAACGTTTTTAAATTCTGTTTGACTAGCTTTAAACAAAGTTCACAACAATCCATGTGTCATCGCCCATTTGGTATGGATTGTTGTGACATGATACATGGATTGTTGTGAACTTTGTTTAAAGTGGCGGTACTGATCACTTTGATCCTTACCGTCCGGTATAAGGTGCTTCTCTTTTGGAATCTGTCAAAGAGAAAGGAGCCGTTGGCCCGTTGGCCCGTTGGCCCCGCGTTGGTCGGCAGTTGGCCCCTCGGCTCCGAGCGTCACTATGCTCAAATCCCTGAGAAAAATCCTCGCCTTAAATTTGGCTGTATTTTTGCGACAAATTCTGCATCCTGTTAAACAATTGTGTCACTTAAGCAGTAGCTGATTTGAGGGAATAATCTGAGTTGAGAGTTTTGCCTCTCGATTCTCTTGAGATTGATGCTTTGTCTCTCGATCCAGTATCCAGTATCCAGAATCGGTTCGGTTCAAATCGAGAATCCAAAATTTTTGAATCGAATCAATTGGACCGATTAGCTGATTTGGTGGATTCGATTCTAAATTAGAACAAAGTGATTCGATTCGATTTGGAACCAAAAACTAGATCTATTACTCATCTACTTTCCGAAAGAGTTTTTCGAAAAAGCTTTCGAAAGAGTTTCCGAAAGATTTATTTGCAATATTGCAAATTGTTTTCAATGTTAGAAAATTTTTACCTAATCGAAAGTTTTGAGGATTTGCCGATTACTCATTTTTCCAAAGCTCTCGCCTAGATCCGTCCATTAGGCGATTTCCGGTTGGAATATAGGGGATTTGTAGGCCAGCTCCAAGATTGCTTCCCCCAATCGGCGAATACAGTGTCTTTCTTTAGACTTACTCATTTACCTTTCTTACTTACTAGTTTTGGAGTTTTGATTAGAGTTTATTTAGATAAAAATTCGCAAAAACAGAAATGATTTGCAGATGACGCTCAAACGATGGTGGTTGTTGTTACTTTTGATGAGCTTTCAAGCGAGAACTAATGGGCTACGGATAAATCACGATGATGATCGACGATTCGAGAAACCGATGGGATCCGGAGGAGTTGTTCGAATTGGACATCTATTGCCTGGGAATCCACAGGTATCAAAATTTTGATCAGTGTTTTCAATTTACTGTAGATTTGAAAGAGATAAGAAACTTCATTAGCTAGATAGCAGAGCTTACTGGCTTATAACAGAGCTTATTGGCCTATAACAGAGCTTATTGGATAATAACAGAGCTGATTGACCTATAACAGAACTGATTGGCTTATAGCAGAGCTTATTGGCCTATAACAGAGCTTGTTGGCCTATAACAGAGCTTGTTGGCCTATAAAAGAACTGATTGGCTTATAACAGAGCTTGTTGGCCTATAACAAAGCTTGTTGGCCTATAACAGAGCTTATTGGCCCATTTCAGATTGCTCAAGAACCGGAGATCCTACGAATGTGTGCCCAGGATATGAAAGAGCGAAAGATTCTACCGAGAAACTTCACTCTACAGTAAGTGATTGATTTGTTAGAACATCATTCTGTTAGCAATGGTTCAAGTCTTCACTTGCTATTGCATGATTCTTAAAATAGATTTGATAATTTTCAGAGTCTACACAATGGGCAGCTGTGACAAGTTCAGCGGAGTCGAGAACGCTGCTTACTTGCACTACATGAAGAACGCGACGATCTATTTTGGACCCGGTTGCAACAATGGTAAATGCTTTTCGTTAGCTGATTAGAGCTCTATCCGACAAAACTCTCTAACTAGGATAGGTCTCGTTTTTCATCTTAAGTTGGCGACCTTCCCTAGTAAGTGCATAGGCCACGACTGCCGTATTCTCTTTAATAGTAGAGCACCACGCCGAGCCGAGTTGACGACTATTTTACAGTTTCCAAGCTTTCGCAGAATCACAACACTCTAATCCCTCACAAGATCTCATCGTCAGCTACATTTTCCGACCTCACATCGATAGATTCTGATCAGCGCTTGTCTAGATTTCGAGCAATTTAGCAAAGCAAATCAGCAAAGCAAAGCTTAGGGTGCACTATTATTAAAGAAAAAAGAAAAAACGGTGAGTCTTTTTGGTTCTTTTCATACTTCTGTTGGGTACAATCACTAAACACTTTAGAAATGTTGGTGATCGGTCGTCTTGCTCCTCGCTGGAATGTCCCAATCGTTGCTCATATGTCTGGAGATGATATCCTCTCTGATCGAACAGTTTTTCCGACTCTTGGATCCGTTGCTTTAACTTCGGCCAGTGAAATGGCTCGAGCAACGCTCGCTTTCTTGCAGCACAACGGATGGGATCAAGTAATCAATTTCTCTCCATCAAAACTTTCATTGTTGCAAATTTTCTGTTCAATTTTCAATCTAGGTGGGTTTCGTGCGCTCGGCTTCCCAATTTGATCGTCTCAGCGTGCACTCGTTGAACAATTTGATCAAGCGACAAGAAATTGCGGTCAGTTCTTATAGTGTCTTGTTTACTGGTTCTTTAAGGAATCAATTTTGCAATGTAATTCAGGTCAATGTCAACACAATGATCGAGTTTGAGCCGCACACTTCAGCCGACGAAATCATCGCCTCTGGAAAGCTGAAACAGTTGAAATCGAACGCGAGAAGTGGGTTTCCGATGCTTATTTGATAATTTTATTCTCTCTTCGCATTTCTCTTCAACTTTATCATTCATTCCAATAGAAACTCATTTTTGAATAGGCTGAAATAGATCTATTAGCTTCTTCTAAGGACCTAGCGACTCACTTCTAAAGATCTAGCTCAGCGAGAACGCAATGAAACCTTATGAAATTTTTGGAGGTGATTTTTGAGTATGTCTCCTGTAGCCAAGTCCATTTTCTAGTTGATTGATGCTTCTAGAATCTTTTTATGGCCTTACAAAGTTGAGCGATACACCTCACGGTACACTTCGCGAAAAACTCAATTTAAGGTTTTGAGAAATCGTTTTTTGTTTTTAAAATGCTACAGATTCCTTATCCTTTTTGATGAATAGCATCAAACAAAGAAGAAAAAACGAAAATTTCTTTTCAAAAAAGATTTCATTAAATCATTTCTCTAATTTTTGGTTCCCTAATCACATTTTTTTAAAAAGCTGCAGTTTAATCGGACTCGATGACAGAAAATCGAATTTCTATGCGATTTTTGATCTGCTGTTTGATCTTTTTGATCTTTTTTCATCTTAAGCGTCTTCAGATTCATTAAATAGCTTCAAAAAAGGCCCACAAAAACCTTAAATTGGGTTTTTCTCCAGGTGTAGCGCGAACTTTGTAAGGTACTCTCAACTTTGTAAGGCCATATAAAGATTCTAGAAGCATCAATCAACTAGAAAATGGACTTGGCTACAGGAGAAATACTCAAAAATCACCTCCAAAAATTTCATAAGGTTTCATTGAGTTCTCGCTGAGCTAGATCTTTAGAAGTGAATCGCTATAATTCGCGGTCGTCCTATACAACTTGGAGGTTTTCTATGAGCTTTTGAGAAGTTGATATCCCACTTTGAGCTGACAAGACACTTCCTAAATACTCCCAAACAAAACGCGAGCTGTAGTCTACAAAATAGAGAGCTGTAGTATACAAAATAAATCATCAACAATTTAAACCTGAACAGGATTTTGAATTACAACTCTACGATGTTACTTTGATGCTTAAAGAAAGACCACGATGCCTTTGAGTGTACCAAATACCAATGGAGCATAGGGTGAAGGAAAATGAACTTGACTACAGGAGAAATACTGAATGATCTTTTTGATCTTTTTTTATCTTAAGCGTCATCATATTCATTAAATAACGACCCACAAAAACCTTAGATTGGGTTTTTCTGTACCGCGACTCTCAACTTTGTAAGGCCGTATAAAGATTCTAGAAGCATCAATCAACTAGAAAATGGACTTGGCTACAGGAGAAATACTCGAAAAGCACCTAGAAAAATTACATACGGATTCATTGAGTTCTTACTGAGCTAGACGCTTAGAAGTGAATCGCTATAATTCATCTCCTTAATATCTGATCACCCTGTAATATCTGATCAATGAACTAATTGTTATTATTGCTGTCTCTACAGCCAAAAGCGGCACAAAAAGCTCCTAATGTTCTAGTCATTGTTGTTGAAATGGGAATGGATCTGCATCATGCCACAAATTTCATGATCGCTGCTCACCGTGCTGGAATGAAGGGCGATGAATATGTGTACATTTTGCCGTGGTTAGCTCATGTGAGTCATTCGCTATCGATAAACGTTTTTAAAAACATGTTAGTGTTAAGCTTTGAACTTAAACTGATTCAAAAGTTAAAGTCTATCGATTTCAGCAACTTTTAGCAACTTGTAGCCGTATTTCGTCACAGGATTTCTTTATTTTTAGTTGTAGAAATTACTGCATGACTTACTAAGAGCTCATTCGAGCCGGAAATTTAGAGATAAATCCGGATTATCTCCACTTCTTTTACCCCAAAATGATTACTGTAACGTGATTACGTCAAAGAGAAGAGATTAGCGTCAAAGAGAAGAGAAGAATTATTTGAATCAATAAAGAAAACTGAAGATCTTGAAGTCATTTAGGTAAACGACCACTACCCTTGGGAGTCATCAACGGTCGATAAACAGGAAGTGAAAGCCGCCTTTGAGAACACGATTGTGATCACGGCGCATGGATATGACAAGAAATTCTTTGACGAGTTTACGCAGAAATATGTCCAAGCAACGGGACAGCTTTCCACTCATGTGAGGAAGAGAATTCACCTCAAAACTTGACATTGATACCTCTTTGAACACGTTTCAAAACGTTCAAAATGTTAAAATGTGTCCCAGGACTTAGAACTAGACTTCTAACTTTTAATTAGACACCTACGAGACTTTTAACCTTTAACTGTATTCCACGTGATTAAATAATTAATTAAATAAACTATTAAATAAACTTGCATATGTTAAATAGTCTAATAGGAGCGTCGGAGCGACCCCATAGGAGCGTCGTGTAGTCTAAGTTTACTCTCAAACAAACGCTCATATCTCGACACTAGTACGTTTGTTTCTGCGCGCTTGGGTATCAAATTAAAGTAGAGAGCATGGGTGATTTTTTGAGATATCACACATATTTTTAGCATTAACCAGCGCTTAGAACAAAATGTTTGGGAAGTGGCAAAAAGGGCTATGGTAACTCCGCCCGAGCAGAGTTCTCAATGCCTTTTTCAGGCCGTTTGCCGTTGGCAATCTACGTATTTTGCTATATTTTAGCCGGGTTTGTTCAAAAAGCGTTGAATTCGCTTTCATTCGACTCGAAATCAAATTTTCTATCGAATGAAAGCAAATACAAACAAACCCGGTCAAGATACGAGCAAAATACGTAGATTGCCAAAGGCAAACGGCCTGAAAAAGGGGCGGAGTTAGGGGGTATATAAGAAGACAAAGAAAGAAAGAAAACTTCTAATAAAGCAAATATTAGAATATTAAAATGGAAAATCGACAAACAGACCGAAAAAGGGGCGGAGTTAACATGGCTGAGGAGCGGGGGAGTTAGAGTATTTATGTTACGTCCGATCTAGAAATCCGTCCGATCTAGAAATCCGTCCGATCTAGAAATCCGTTCGATCTAGAAATCCGTTCGATCTAGAAATCCGTTCGATCTAGACTGATTCTAGAATAAACGTCCGATCTAGAATAAAATGAGGTCAAACCTGAGAAAAACCTGGTAACGATGGAAAGTTAAAAATTTCCATTTAAAGAATTGCATATAAACAAAATACGTAACGACGGTAGCTTTTTTAAAGCGCACTCTTTAAAAACCGCATTAATCACGTGAAACACACTCTAATTGTAAGCATTGCAGGCTTTAATCTTGGCCAAAAACTAACCATAAGACTAGGAGTGTAAGACTGTAAGGTTATGTGATTTGAAAATATGCATACCATTTTAGTATGCAACTCTTGCCTACATGACACTCTACGATGCTCTAGTTCTTTACGGAATGGCGCTGAAAGATGCGTTTGAAGAGCAAAAGAACTACGATGTCCACCAAAATGGATCGCTCATCTGGCAAAAGATGACGAATCGACAATTTGTTGGTGGGTTTACCTTTTTAACCAGTTAATTAGCACAAGTAGAGTGCTCAGTTTTACAATTTATCAAAAAACACAAAAGCTAATACTTATTACAGTAATTTTGTTTATATTTTTCTCAAGTTTATCGATGGGTTTAAGTAAATTCCTTGGCTCTAGCTGTAGCTTCAAAGTTTTGATCTTTTAGTTTTGATCTTTTTTTGTTTTGTTATCTTTTGGTTTAGGTGTGACGGGTCAAGTTTTGATGAACAATAAGGCCATTCGTGTCCCTTCATATGCCACCTATCACACAGCGAATGGTACCTTGAGAATCGTTGTGGAACTCGAGGCGAAACTTGGGAATGATCAGAAATGCAAAGCAAATCCGGATATGTGCACGGAACATGTAAATTTTTGAAATGAGTAATGTCAATAAAACTCAAAGGTCGTTGAGTTTTGAAATGAAATTATCATTGAGCTAGGTGGCGCATGAAGTGATCCAATACTACTGGAACAGTCACAATGGAATGTTGCCTAAATCGGTTCCCTCGTGTGGATTCACAGGTAAACCTTAAGATGTTTTCAAGTTCTGTAATTCCAAAGATTGTTCAAGTTCTGTAATTCCAAAGATTGTTCAAGATCTGTAAACTGTAAAAGATTTAAAGGCAAGCTCTTGTTTTAGGAGCCGATTGTGATTACACGACTTATTTCATCTTGATGGGAGTCACTCTTTTCTTCCTCACCATCATTCCACTTTCCTACTTTTTATATGTGAAACAGTCAGTTCACCAAAGTTTAATCTTCAGCTGTACTTTGTGCTTACAAATATAAACCCATCATTTCTGGTGTAGTTGGCTGACTGGTGTAGTTGGCTGACTGGTGTACTTGGCTGTCTGGTGTACTTGGCTGTCTGGTGTACTTGGCTGTCTGGTGTACTTGGCTGTCGCTGGTGTCTGGTGTCTTGGCTGTCTGGTGGACTTGGCGTCGTGTACTTGGCTGTCTGTGTCTCGCCTGGTGTCTGGGCTGCCTGGCGTGTCTTGGCGTCTGGTGCTGCGTACTGCGCGGATTGGCTGTCTGGTGTACTTGGCTGTCTGGTGTACTTGGCTGTCTGATGTACTTGGCTGTCTGATGTACTTGGCTGTCTGGTGTACTTGGCTGTCTGGTGTACTTGGCTGTCTGGTGTACTTGGCTGTCTGGTGTACTTTGCTGTCTGGTTTACTTGGCTTGATCAATGGAATTTTCAGAAAAGAGCGCCTTCTCTACGACATGACTTGGAGAATTCCGAGAGATGTCGTTCGTCTTGTTGAGGCAAAATCGGTAAGAATCTGTGAAAAACACTTTAATTATTTGTTCATTTTAATTTTAATGAATAATTTACTTGTTTTACTAATAATTTTCTAAAAAGCTGCTCTCTGCTCTGTTGTTTTATCTATTTTTAGCTGAAAAATTTAGAAATCCGAGCACTCTTTGGCGAGCAAATCCCAATCTTCGGGCTCTTTCTCGGGCAGCCTTGGCTCGAAACAAAATGGACTCATTGCGGCTAAACAGGCTACCTCAAATGGAGTCAGGTAAGTGTTTTAAAAGATTTTCGAATTAATTGAAAAGAATATCAATCTTCTTGTTCAGAGTTGCAATTAAACGCTTCCAACAAGTGCGCAACATTACTTACCCAAAACACGAGCTGAGAACACTCAAAGAGGTAAGATTTCTGAAGCTATTTTGATTTGAATAGTTGGACAGGCCGTTAATTTTATGGATTGGGGCTGGGAAAACAGGAAAACCGGGATTCAAAGGCGTTGGGATTCGAGAGCGTGTCCTTTTGCTTACCGGGGGAACGCTCTACCAATCAACTAAACTAACACGTATCCCATTGCCACTAGAATAACCCGGTAAAACAGTTGAATCAACTGTTGAATCAAAATCTACAAGGAGAATCACCTTGTTTTGTTCAACAGCTCAAGAACGTTGACCAAATTTTGCGTTAAAGGGTCTTATGAATTTGAAGCTTTAAGTACATACCGTAAATACTGTAATAGTACCCCACCCCCATAATGACGGTGCGGAGCGTTGCGTAGTCTAGCTTTGAACGAGTTTTTCTCGACACTGGTTTATGCTACAATGCGCGCTTAGGTATCAAAAATAGCTGAGATTCAGGGCTATTTTTTGATACCAAAGACACATTTTTTGAAAGTACGGGTGCTTTGAAAAAAAAATGAAATACTAAAAAACTTTTGCGACTACGCGACTGTACGAGGGGGTGGGGTACTATTACAGTATTTACGGCATGTTTTTTATAAAGACCACTTCTTGTTTTATTTGTTTTATAAAGAGGACTTCAATTGCTTTCTCAAGAAAGCAGTGTTCCACTTTTGTTCCACTTTTGCAAAAACATTTAAAATCCCCTTTCCCAGATCTCTTCTCCATTCCAAGACTCAAATTTCCCAGTTCCCAATTAGGATCAAAAGTCTGCTCATTCTTTTGAAATCCTTTGCAATCGTAGCAATTTTTGCATTTTTTTTAGCTGAAACTCATCGAAAATGAGAACTTGAATAAATTCTATGGAATCGCGTTCAATCAACAAAATGAATTCATCGTCATGTGGATTCTCTGCTCGAGGGGAAGTCTTGAGGTAAGTGTGAAGAGAATTTGAAGATTATTTTTAAAAGCATTACTAGATATTCAAGTAATTAGGAAACTTTTATCCATTTCAAAACAACATTTCAAAATTTTCAGGACATTTTGTTCAACGATGAGCTCAAACTCGGCCGAAACTTTCAAGTGTCTTTTGCGAAAGATGTTGTCAAGGTAATTCTAAAATTGAATTCAACTTTTGTATCTAGACTAATTTTCTATAATAACAATATGATTTAAAAACTTGGATCTTTATGGTTAACGGCTGGTGTAACGATTATCGGCGGTGCCCCAATTTTTGTGGCCAACTTGCAGCTCATTTCTAAGCACCTTAAACTTGTCAGATCAGGAAGCTTTAATATGATTTGGATAGCTTAAAACGTTAACTTTTAGAAACTATTTGTTTTATTCAAAGTTATTAACATAAACCTATCTAAAATTGGGATGTAAGTTGGTCAAAAACTCGCCCCCAGCCAATAGTCGCTACCCCCACCGTCGGCCGTAAAACTGATCTATCTCAAATTTCATTTCCAAATTCAGGCCTTGGCCTTTCTACACGCTTCTCCGATTCTTTACCACGGCTTGCTCTGTCTCCAAAATTGTCTCGTTGACTCGAATTGGACTGTCAAATTGACCAACTTCCGAACAGAGGAAATAATCTCCGAAAAACTGTATCATAACGAGATTCGCCCGGTTTTGGGTGAAGGAGAGGATGAGAATGATCGGCTCATTGATAGAAGTGAGTGCTCTTTGTAGACTTTTTATTAGGTTGGTGAATTGAAAACTGCGGGACTTTGAACTAAAATTGATTCAACATAAAACCATGAATTCATTCCAAATAATTTCCATTATTATTGACGACTTCTGCCCATTTTACAGGCAATTTGCGGATTCCTCTTTCGTAGTAGGATTTTGGTTTGTGTGTGAGACAAGTGTGAGACTCAAAAATGGAGAACTGGACTTTGAGAATGGAGGACTGGGCTCCCAATTTGAGCACTTTCTTCAAAAGAAACCCATTTTGGTGTCAATGGAAAAGTTGTAGAGAATCAAAAATTAGGCTTATAGCCAAATTTCCAAAAAGATACACCTAGTAGTTTCGCTTAAAATACAAGTTTCGTATTCGTAAATGTGAAAATTCGTAAATTTGGCATCTCTTGAAAACCAGTTTTTGAATCGTTCTGAAAATTTGGATATAAGCCTAATTTTTGATTCTCTACAACTTTTCCATTGACACCAAAATGGGTTTCTTTTGAAGAAAGTGCTCAAACTGTCACATAGGACAATAGTCGGCAGTTTTCGATTCACCCATCCAGTAGATTTCTTTCTCATTTCAAAGAAAAACAGAAAATTTATCGCGTAAAACAATAATTTCAATTAATGTGACAAAAAAATGATTTGAAAATGAAAAAGAAACGACGACGCGGCGCTCCCATCGACTACCTCTAAATGACGGCGACGTCAATTGGAATGTCGTGTCGCGTCGTCGCGTCAGTCGCGCAAAAATTAACGTTTAAATTTGGGACAGAAATTCAAGTTTAACATGGAAATGTCCGGAAAAACAGTTTTCAATTCACCAACCCAATACTTACAAACATGCCCTTTCTGGAGTACTTGTTTACTGTGTAAATTTGCTACAATAAGCTTTAAGCAATCATGGGAATCTTTAAGCAATCATGGAATCCCATTTTGTTAACCTTGTGCATTCAGAATACATCCAACAAGCACCTGAAGTAATCCGTGAGATCGTCACTCGTAAGGCTCTCCCACGTGGTGGACAACCGCAAGATGTGTACGCTTGTGGAATGGTTGTCTATCAAATTCTCTATCGAGTTGAACCATTCCACGAACGAGGGAAATCGATTGCAAGTTCGTTTCATAAAACTATACTCAATTTGAAAAGCTACTCCACAATCAACCTTCCAGAACTCATGGAAATGATCGCAATGTCCAACGACGACGATCAGCTCATCCGCCCGACTTTTCCCTCTTCAATGGGTATCTTACAGGAAGCTAATGGCAAAGGCTATTGAATGAAACACTTTTAACAACAAGGAAATGTTTAGGGGTTAAAGATAAAGATGCGGACACGTTCAATCTACAGCTTTTATCCTGTATTGAAGCTTGTTGGCTAGAGCTGCCAGAAATGAGACCAAATATCAAAAAAGTTCGAACAATCATTAATTCGAATCTCAAGAGCACGTGAGTAACCGGGAAAGCTGATCTTTATACATAGGTAAACAATTTTAGAGGTAAAGGCTCTCTCGTGGACCAAATGATGAAGATGATGGAAGAGGTGGGTAACTGAATCAAAGTCTTTCAGATAATGACATATGATTAATTATTAAGCAAACTTCTATAAGTACGTCCTATAAGTACGCCCTATAAGTACTTCTATAAGTACTTCTATCAGTACTTCTATAAGTACTTCTAAAAGCACTTCCATAAGTACTTCTATAAGTACTTCTATAAGTACGTCCTATAAGTACGCCCTATAAGTACTTCCATAAGTACTTCTATAAGTACTTCGATAAGTACTTCTATAAGTACGTTCTATAAGTACTTCTACAAGTACGTTCTATAAGTATTTCTATAAGTAATTCTATAAGTACTTCTATAAGTACTTCTATAAGTATTCTATAAGTACGTTCTATAAGTACTTCTACAAGTACGTTCTATAAGTATTTCTATAAGTAATTCTATAAGTACTTCTATCAGTACTTCTATAAGTACTTCTATAAGTACGTTCTATAAGTACGTTCTATAAGTACGCTCTATAAGTACTACTTATTCAGTACACAACCAATCTCGAGAGCCTTGTTCGTGATCGGACAGCGATGTTAGAGGAAGCACAAAAGCAAGCGGATCGTCTCCTCAACAATATGCTTCCAAAGTAGGTTCAAGTACTTCAAGTATTATACTTATTTATGCAATTTTTCCTATTCCCATTCCCAAAATCCCACTTCCGAGCATAGGAGACAAGATTTGTACAAAGAAATCCGCTCAATGGCGTGCAAATCGGTTCTTCTGTACTCAGCGGTGGAGAAATCACCTAAAACCCGCTAAAACCCAATTTTAGACTTATTTTTTGTTTAGAAACCTTATCAGCACAATTGTTTTTCGATTTTAGATCAATCGCTGAAGATCTGAAAGTTGGAAAGCCGGTCCTTCCTCAATTGTATCCATGTGCAACTGTGCTCTTCTCGGATATTCGTGGTTTCACGAGAATCTCATCAACATCGACTCCACTCCAAATTGTTACCTTCTTGAATGATATGTTCTCCGGATTTGACTCGATTATCTCAAAACATGATGCTTACAAGGTAATCAGAAGCTTTTACAGTTTCAAGCTTTCAATTAGCCTATTACTCTAGCCAGAGTTGTTCTAAAAAGCCAAAAGCCATCGCTAGCCAAGCCAAATCAAAGCCAAGAGAAAAGCCAACAGTTGGCTTGGCCTTGGCATGGCTTTGTTTTGGCTTTGGCTTTGGCTTGACTTTGGGTCGGCTTTGGCTTTGGCTTGATTTTAGCTTGGCTTGATTTTAGCTTGGCTTGATTTTAGCTTGGCATGGCTTTGTCTTGGCTTTGGCTTGGCTTTGGCTTGGCTTGCCTTTGGCTTTAGCTTGGCTTGACCTTGGCATGGCTTTGTCTTGGCTTTGGCTTGGCTTGATTTTAGCTTGGCATGGCTTTGTCTTGGCTTTGGCTTGGCTTTGGCTTGGCTTGCCTTTGGCTTTAGCTTGGCTTGACCTTGGCATGGCTTTGGCTTGGCTTTGGCTTTGTCTTGGCTTTGTCTTGGCTTTGGCTTTGGCTTGGCTTTGGCTTGGCTTGACTTGGCTTTGGCTTTGGCTTGGCTTTGGCTTTGGCTTGACCTGAAAACTTGGGTCTAGGAACAGCCTCTAGTCTCATAGTCCAATAACTGACCCAGATTTGCCACACGTATCGACTTGAGCCATATCTATCCTAAAAAAACTCTATTTTAGCTCTTCAAACAAAAGAATCCATTTGCTTTTAGGTAGAAACGATTGGTGACGCCTACATGATTGTCTCCGGGGTGCCGAAAGAGAACGGGAACTTCCACGCTCAAAATATTGCTGAGATTGCGTTGAAAATGAGAACAGTGAGTGAGAGCAGGGAACTTCGTCTATTAAAAGCAATATTTTGTCAACCTATTTCTATATTGTCAACCTATTTTCATATTGTCAACCTATTTCAGTTCGTTTCTAACTTCAAACTTGCGCATCGTCCCGAGGAGTTGATGATGGTGAGAATCGGTTTCCATTCGGGGTCCGTGGCAGCTGGTGTCGTGGGACTTGCAGCTCCAAGGTAAATGCTACAGTGAGTCAGAAAGGCAAGATAATTGTTAGATTTGATTGAGATATGCTAGTTTCTAAATCTCAGTCGGATTTTGACTTCAGCTCTTGTTCAGATATTGCTTGTTCGGTGACACCGTGAATATGGCTTCAAGAATGGAAAGTACTGGAGTTGCGAACAAGATTCAGGTACTGAAGTTGAAATTTGAGCATTTCATTTCAAAAAACATGATTACTCTGTAGAACTCCGTAGAAATTTTCAATGTTTTCAATATTTTCAATTCAATTTCGTTTCCAGATCTCCGAGCAAGCCTACAACCTTTTGCACTGTTTTTTCCCACAATTCGTTATGACTGAAAGGGGAAAAATTGAGATAAAAGTAAGGAAAACTTATAAAAATATTAGAATACCTTAATTTTTGATTCTAAAACATGATTAGAAGCTTTTATTAATCAAAAATATTTCAGGGAAAGGGCGAATGCTTGACCTACTACTTAGAAGGGAAATCAGGCAAGTGAAGGCTAGTTATTTCAATTTTACAAAAGTTAGTTAACTTAGTTACTTAATAATAACATAGTTTAGTAATAATAACATAGTTTAGTAATAATAACATAGTTTTAACAGTTAACATATTAGGTTTTTTGGATATAAACGAGCGTTTGTACTGCTTAAATCTCCTATCTACTCCTTGACGAATGAGAGCTTCATCAAGTTGCTCAAGTTACTGTTTGTAGAGGCCTGCTGTGACTGTTTGGCCGGGCTGTAGAAGCTCGAAATACACAAGGCCCTTGTTATTCCACCATACTGAGAGCATGACCTTTTTCCCATGAATGTCCGGTTTCACGGTCAGATTTGGCCGTTCTTTTGGTCCTAGCCATTGCCGTTTTCGAATAGTATTATCGAAATAGATCCACTTCTCATCTCCAGTAACGAGAGAATCAAAAAAGCCATGATCTTTAGCGTGACGGATGAGAATTCCGGCAATAGTGCCCCGTGAAGTCGTGAAGTCTTGCACTTCTTGACTCGTGAGGAAGCCATTTCCAGCATCTGATCGTTTTTCCAATGGCGTGGAGATGCTCATCAATAGTAGAATTTGAACATAGAAACTGTTAAGAAAGTTCACGCGTCGTTTGACATGGATCCGATTCGATTACAGCCCTCAAAATATCGTTGTCTATCGCTTGAGGTAGACACGATATTCTTGACGAGAGTGTTCATCATCCTCGAGACTTTCATCACCATTCCGAAAGCGTTGGAACCAGGCTCGGCATCGGCTTTTGGACAATGCATCATTCGAAAGGCTTTGATCAAATCTCGATGGGATTTCGCGACTGTTTTGCCCAGTTTGAAGTCGTAAAGTAGGCAGAACTTGATATATTTGAAGTCGATCATCTAAAGCAAGAAAAAAGATCTTAAAAATACGAAATTAAGAAATTATATTTAAAAATATTCCAAATATTCACAAGATAACGTACTTTTAAATACAGAAAGACATATTTTAAAAGCTTCTCTCACAACAATAAGTTTAGCAACGCTTGTTTACATCAACCTAATATATGAAATGAAAGGGGATTGATGTAAGCCGACTTTTTAGATGTAAACAGAACGAGGGAAGTCAAGTGCATAAACAATTAGTTTAAAAAAACAAAGTGTTACTAAGACTTATGAGAGTGAGACTTACGAGAGAATAAATTTAGTGTCATATTTAGTGTCGTCAGAGTGTACTGTTTTCGGAAACGGAAATATCGAGATGAAAGGACCTACTGAACAGCTAAAGAGCTAAAGAGCTAAAGAGCCAAAGAGCTAAAGAGCCAAAGAGCTAAAGAGCCAAAGAGCTAAAGAGCTAAAGAGCCTAAGAGCTAAAGAGCCAAAGAGCTAAAGAGCTCAATCCAAACCCACCAATAGATTTCGATTGATCGCCACAATCTTGTACATTATTCGCTGTCTTTCACCTTCTGATAAAGTCGGATAGGTTTCTTTGATGTACTCAAGCAAGAGCTAAAACATTGAGTTACTGAGAGTGAGACTTATGAGAGAATAAAAGAGTTAAAAATCATATTTAGTGTCGTCAGAGTGTACTGTAAATACAGAAAGACATATTTTAAAAGCTTCTCTCACAACAATAAGTTTAACAACGCTTGTTTATATCCGAACAACCTAATACTTCAATTAACGCACTTTAATTAACGCACTTTAATTAACGCACTTTAATTAACGCACTTCAATTAACATACTTCAATTAACATACTTCAATTAATAAATCTTATTTCCCTACATAGACAACAGTTTCCTTTTTACAGGCGGCAAAAAATGACGCCAAAAGAAGCGCTCTAATTCTCAAAAAAGTACCGACGAGGAATTCGAAGAGATCAATGGCATTTCCACGTTTACTATTTTCAACTGTTTTTGATTTCCTTTTTTCTTGTATTTGAATTTGCATTGGTTTCTTCTAAAAGTTTCTAATTTTACAATGTTTCTGCTATATTTTCGAGCGACTATCTACATTCCAATAAATTCTACAATACAAATAATGCCTTTCCACTTTCAACCAAAGTTTGATTAACTTCAAAACTTTAAAACTTTTACAAACTTCAACTTCAACTTTAACTTCAAAAAATTTCTAAAAGTAAAAGTTTTATAAGAAGTTTAAAACTCTTACTCTATGCCTTTGCTATACCAGAGCCTTAAACGTTTTCCGGAAGATAGCAATGTTTATAATCTTAAAATTGGCCCGGATCCTGGCTTCAAGGACACACAGCCAAGTCCGGGCCTGATTTTTGGCCTACAGGGCCAGTTGATTGGAATAAACTGTCGTTCTCATTACTCGGCGTTCTCATTACTCGGCTGACTGTGCCAGTATCTGTATTGTTAACGGGTAACTAGTAAAACTCATGCTTCATCCCGTTTTTTATGTATAAAGTATAGAAAAAAGTAAGTTTAAGGCAATGGGGATGAAGATTAAGGTAATGGGGATGAAGATTAAGGCAATGGGGATGAAGATTAAGGCAATGGGGATGAAGATTAAGGCAATAGGAATCAAGGTTAAGGTAATGGGGGAAGAAGATTAAGGCAATGGGGATGAAGATTAAGGCAATGGGGATGAAGATTAAGGCAATAGGAATCAAGGTTAAGGTAATGGGGGATGAAGATTAAGGCAATGGAGATGAAGATTAAGACAATGGGGATGAAGATTAAGGTAATAGGAATGAAGACCAACGCTCAAAGATCTTTCCAAAAGTAAAAACATTGCAAGTCTCAGCGAATAAGTGTTGTATACGGTTCGAAAGCCCTAAATCTCCTCTACAAAATAGCGCAAAAAAATTTTAAAGTAGATTGATTCTCGAAGGCTTTGGTGTCTTTTAAGGCTACGGACAAATACATGGCGTGCTCGGCGCGCTTCAGAAAATTACCTTTCACTTTCAGTTACCTTTCACTTTTTCCAAAAAACCACTAAGGTGGACAGGGTGTTCAATATTTATGGGGACCAGTAAATTACTAGGTTTGCAGCTCATTTTGTACAAGTTTAATGCTACTTTAATGCTCAATTCTAACATTAAAAGAAAACACACTTATCAATAAGCCCAATGTTTACAGCCTGAAGTTACTTTTTTCAAAATTATTGTCTTTTGCGCTGTTGTTTGCCTAGAGATCTGTGGAAAACGCCTACTATAGCACAAATTGAGTTTGTCACAAGCTCTCGTTAAGCTTTCTTGGAAGAACTAAAACTGAAATGTGACTCTAACATTTTTCTGATTCTAACATGCGGGCGTTAATGTCCCGTAGATTCGAAAACCGTTAAATAGTGAAGACTTTCTCATTGTTAAACAAGAACAAGGACAAGAACAAGAACAAGGACAAGAACAGGAAAAAGAACAAGAATAAGGACAAGGAAATGAACAAGAACAAGGACAAGGACAAGGACAAGAACAAGAACAAGGACAAGAACAGGAACAAGAACAAGAACAAGGACAAGAACAAGGACAAGAACAACTGGTGATCGAGTACAAATGAATCGATTTTGGAATTTAAAATTAAGTAGCCTGCAAAAATAATCTAGAAAATCGAGTTTATTCCAACTCCTATGCAGTGCTTTCTTGACAATTTTTTTATAAACCAATTTTGAAAGGGCTAAACGATCTGCGAGCTCAGAAGTCCCGATAAATATTGGACACCTTGGATTAGGTACTGAAAAAAAATTCATGTCGTATTTTTTCACTAAAGTTCAAACTTTCATAAAATTTTTATTTCAAAAGCAATTTCATCAAAGTAAAAACCAGTAGAATCTATACATGATTGCCAACGTTTTGCTAACTTTTCAATTCCTAAAGTGTAGAACGCGGGCTCCCATGAGTCGATAAACTCCTTGATGCCATTTTCGACCTCCCCTTGAGTAGCAAAGCATTTCTCCGATAAGAAGTGATCGAGAAACTTGAAAAAGTGAAAATCTATAGGCGATAAATCAGGAGAATATGGAGCATGAGGGAGGACTTCAATGTGCAGCTCGTTCAATTTTTGAAGAGTCTTCAGTGAACAATGCGGGCGGGCGTTGTCTTGTAATAGGATGGGACCCATCCGATTCACTAGAGATGGATCGATCCTTCGAAGCTTTTCATACATTTCATTTAGTTCGTGAATATACTGATCGGAATTCATCATTTTTCCGTTTGGATAGAATTGAATAATGGGTTTGATAGTATCACTCTTTAGTAGTATCACTCTTTCTTTTCTTGACATTTAAAGCTTCATCCAAACAATCCAATTTTTTTTACCTTAATGATCCCTTTGAAGTCTCTTTTACTCATTAATCTTTTACCGCTTTTCATAATGTTTTGAAGAAAAGAAGTAACAGGACAACGTTTGATCCTCTATAATCTAATTTTAATCTATAGTTTAATTACAGTCGACTCTCTCTATAACGGAGCTCTATATAGCGGAAAACTCTATATAACGGAATGGAATATTGGTCCCGGCCAACGCAAAGCTATATAAAACGGTACTCTATATAACGGAAACATTTTTTTGGTCCCTTTCATTCCGTTATAGAGAGAGTCGACTGTAATTCAATGACCACCAAACACTGAGAAGAAGCTTCTTTGGGTGTAGGTCGGGCTTCGGAAAGAGGTTCGGTGGTTTTCCTTTATCTAGCCAGGCTTTGCGTTTTCGGTTATCGTAGAGGACCCATTTTTCATCACAATTTACAATTCGATCCAGAAATGGCTCCTTTAGATTACGAATCAACAATGAATACGATGTGAGGTAACGGTGCAATTTTTAATATTCGTTCAACTGATGAGGCACTTTTCCAACTTTTTTACTTTTCCGATTTCCTTGAGATGGTTCCCAATTATGTGTGGAGTGACTCCAAAGTCCGTTGCTAATTCTACCTCAGTTGTTCTCGGATTCACTTCTATCAGCTCTTTAATTTGTCATTGTCAAGACTAACATGGCGTTCGCGGCCTTCCTTGTCATTCAGATCCTCGTCGCCTTCCCGGAATCGTTTGAACCAGCGCTGAACTGCTCGAACTTTAGCTTTACCTTCCCCCAAAAGCTTGATTGATGTTTTGAGTCGCTTCTGACGCATTGTGGCCAAGCTTGAACTCATACAAGAAGAGAAGGCGAAAGTCTCGATTTTCCATCGATCAGCGCGAAAATAAAAAGAATAATCAAGGAAAACATCAATGGGACAATACTTTTGTGGAGCTATTTGTTAAGTAACTCATTGTTTTTGTTTTATACTTTAATTTTTATGCAATTTATACGGATAAATCTTATAATCTTGAAAAGTAGAGTATTATGAGTAAGCAAAATACCCTACACTTTTTGGGAATACCGTTTTTTTGCAAAATTTTCGTACGAAAGAAACTTTTGGATGGCAATGGGACAATACATTTGTGGACCACTGAGAAAATATTAAAACCTCGCACAAGCTGTTAAAAGGTATCCTATAATCGAGTAAATCTATCTAACCTGTAATTTTTTCTAGAAGTTGCGCTCTTCCTAGAATTTCTTTGGTTTACTTGCTGATTTGTGCTGATGTTTAAGCGTTAGATAGATTTACTCAATGATAGGATAGCTTTTAACAGCTTGTGCGAGGTTTTAATATTTTCTCGGCTTATTTTATTAGTTATACAGTTAGTGATTTTTTTGAATATCATATTAGTTAAATCTTTGAATTTACTTTTTTGACTTAGGTTTAATGGAGGGCAATTTTTTAGAGAAAGTGGAAGGTAATTGGGCATGAATGGCTCTCGGAAAACGGCCATCGGACATTTGATACGCGACCCACCCCTTTTGCCATTAACAATCTAACTTTGAGCTCAAATATCTTGCTGTTGGGCTGTACAATTTAAATAGTCTTGGTACCATTACATGCGCCAAGACTTTCTCTGTAGATTTGTACAAAAACTAATTAAATTGGACAGCCCAACACCAAGATATTTGAGCTCAAAGTTGGATTGCTAATGGGTAAGGGGCCGGGCGACGAACCTTTTATACGACAGAAAAAGACTTGGCTAATGTAATGATACAAGACTATTGAAATTCGACAGCCCAACACCAAGAGCTCAAAGTTGGATTGTCAATGGCAAAGGGGGCTGGCCTTATCCATGCTCCACAATCTGAACAAATGACATGAAGTATGAACGCCAGCATGCGTTTTCTCGACATCAAGGCATGGATTTGGTCGCCCTGTTAAAGTTTCGATAGATTCTGATATGTTAAATCCTGTCAAACCAAGTTCACGAACACTTTTGAGACTAGATATCGTTATTTTAATTCTTAATTGATTAATTGTAAATGCTGTCATCGAACAAAATTCCTAACTAAAGACGAATGAAATCATTCAATTTCTCTCATTTCCCAAAACCAGTTTCCTCTTGTTCAAAAAAAGTTGTGATAAGCCGCCGAGACAAAAGCGGATTCGCACAGTTTTTCTCAGCTTTCCCCATCAAAATTGATATCAGAATCTTTCTTTTCTTTCTTTTCTGTGTATTTTCTGATCAAAAATCTCTTAAAGAAGATTTATTTTTGAAAAAATCGTATGAAAAACACAAAAAAAACATGTGTATATCGGAGAGTTTGTCGTAACACAGATGGCTTTCACGCAGGTGAGGGGAGGTTGGGTGGATTTTGTAAACACTTCTAATATACAAATTTTTCTAATAGAATAGAAAAATAGGACACGTATCGAAAAGATTTCTATAGGAGAAGCGGTTTTTGAAATTTTTGAAATATGGGAGATTCTAAGAATGGGAGATTCGAAAGTGCTTCGGTTGCAGTATCTTTACTGTAGCCCAAATCCTTTACGATCTTGGCCACAGGGTTACTGTAGCTGTTGAGCTACAGTGACCCTAGTTACTAGCTGTTGTGCTAGTAACCCTAGCTATTAGCTGTTGAGCTACAGTAACTCTAGCTACTAGCTGTTGAGCCACAGTAACCCTAGCTACTAGCTGTTGAGCTACAGTAACCCTAGCTATTAGCGGTTGAGCTACAGTAACTCTAGCTACTAGCTGTTGAGCTACAGTAACCCTAGCTACTAGCTGTTGAGCTACAGTAACCCTAGCTACTAGCTATTGAGCTACAGTATCCTTTAGGCTACAGTATTGGCAATTTGGGCTACAAGGTTACTGCATCCTTTTGAGCTACAGTATCCTTAGGACTAGTGTCCTTTAGACTACAGTATCTTTCGGGCCACCGTATCCTTTAGACTATAGTACCTTTCGGGCTACAGTCAGGCTATAGTTTCGTCCACAGTATCTACTAAGCTACAGTATCTTTTTGGACACTGTAACCAAAGAGCCTCAACTACCGTAGCCTTTGCAAAAACCGATCTCCAAAATCATTAGAGAAAAATGAGGTTGTTTGGGAAAATTTCTACAGTTTCCTTTATGGCTTTATTACAAGTATTCATGTGGTCACCGTACAGTACGCAAAAAAAAAGAAGAAGAAAAAGTATCCTTTAGAAAAGAAGAGGTCGAATTTTTCTCAAAAATACCGTATTCGGTGCTCATCACTAGTTGAGCGAAAACCCCTAGCCTAAATCATAAAAATCGTGACTTGTTTTCCACTCTAAAAGCTGCTCTCGTTACAGTAATATCATTGCATTCTAATGTACAGGAAAAGCAATCCGCGAAAAGGATCACAACCGGAAGAAAATGAATAAAGAAAGAAAGAATAAAGAAATATATCGTTCACGGGGAATTAGGAAAATAGACTGAACAAGTGACAAGTTAGTTTATTGGTAAAACTCTAGATTTCTAGTTGAAGCTCTAGATTTCCAGTACGGTTGAAGAACTTGTCATTTCCTCAGCCCCTTTTTCCGAATCAATACAATTAACACGTTTGTGCGTAGGGTTTAGCGGAAAGGACCTGAGTGGTCGGATAGCCACCCCAAGAGCCCGATTTAGATGATGGGACACGAGAGTAACGGGGAGGTTCCGCGCCTGATGGAAGTGTTGATGGAGACCGAGTGGAGAGAGGCAACACCGGCACATAGGCGGGTCGAATCTGGAAATTCGATTTTTTTCTGGATTGTGAACCATAAAATGTAGAGAAATCCGGGTAGTTTATAGTGTGGTGGTAGTATTTTGCAAGAATAATTTTATCGCCGACTGGCCAAGAGCCCTTTATGGCCCGCTGGCCAAGAGCCCTGTATTGCCGACTGGCTAAGAGCCCCGTATGGCCCACTGGCCAAGAGCCCTGTATGGCCGACTGGCTAAGATCCCTGTATGGCCCACTGGCCAAGAGCCCTGTATCGCCGACTGGCTAAGAGCCCTGTATGGCCCGCTGGCCAAGAGCCCTGTATGGCCCACTGACCAAGAGCCCTGTATGGCCCACTGGCCAAGAGCCCTGTATGGCCCACATGCTAAGAGCCTAGGTCAAGGATATTCGAAAAGACATGGGTTCGATCCCGCCGGCTAGACTATTGGTTCTTTTTTCTCAATTTATATATGTTACGTCCGAGTCCGTCCAGACGTCCAGATCCGATTCGGAAGTCCGAATCTGACCACAATCATTGCCAATGGCAACCTAGCCAACGGCAATGCAGTTGTCTTTGCCTTAGTACTCTGTGTCAGTGGGCCATACATAGCTCTATATTAATGCTTAACAATTTTAGTGTCCATAAGATGTGGAAGAAGATGTGGGAGACTTTTTGTGGGAGAAGAACGTTTTCACAGAGCCTTGAGTGTCTTTTACAAGCCTATGCTCCGGCTTTTTCCCGTAGCTTTTGCAAAATTGCAATGACTGACTTATAGAGTAGTTGTAAATCTGTAAAACTCACCAATTGCACCGTATTGTTGACTAATTGTTGGTCCTTTGCATCGAGCAGCGCGTAGAGTTTACTGATTTGCGCCATATGCGCCAACACCATCGCGCACTGAGGTCGAAGATCGAGAATACCTGAAAATAAATGCATTCTAGTCTATAGATTGCATAGTAAATAAAATTTATCGACTTTCTAGTAGTTATGGACTTTCTAGTAGTTATGGACTTTGTAGTTCATAAAGTTTACATTGAATAAAAGACTCACCCAATTGATCCCAATGACTCGTGTAGAGATGACCACAACAGTGCCACAAAAGCCTCATCACCCGACGACAATGCCCTTGGAAATCACCCGAAAATGTTGAACCTGGAAATAATAGAAATCTTAACAAATCACAAAGTTTTCAGACTCCTTAAACGCTAGTTTATCACTGTTATAGTAGTTGGAGAGCTAATCATTCATCTCTATTAAGCCAGAGGTCATTAATTTTTGCTTCTAGGGTTTTTAAGAGCGTAGATTCTTATTTTGGCCTTTATTTAAGCTTTAGAGATTGTTCTGGCCATTTCAAGCAATTGCTGAGGTTTCAAGCCTCTTAATTCGGTCCCGAATCTCTAAATCCAGTGGGAATAGAGCTTGGAATGGAATTGGCCTTGAAGGCTCGGAATTGTTGCTCTAGTTGGCAGGAAAATTTGTTCAAAATGGCTTATAAATGCTTCCAATGGATTCAGTGCAATGAATTACCCGGAAAAAGTTTTTTAAAACTAGTGGCAAGTTCGAAAAAAGTGGTGTTGACAAACTGGCACCCAAACTACTTTGCACCACTTAATTATCATTACCAGGGTTGTTCTGAAAGCCAAGCCAGATCAGGGTAGGCTAGATGGCCAGAAATTATGGTCTAGCCATGGCTGGTTTGATCCAATACCAGTTATTGTCAGGCCAGACCAGTTTAAACTAGATCAAAGCTAGGTAAAGACCAAAGTTATTGTCCTGGCTTTAGCTGGCCAAGCTAAAGGTCAAGCCAGGTCAAGCTAGATCAAAGCCAGGCCAGGACCAGGGTTATTGTTCGGCCTTGGCTGGCTAGACCCGTTTAAGCTAGATCAAAGCCGGGCCGAGGTCAGAGGCTATTGTCCGACCTTGGCTGACCAAGCCAGATCAAAGCCAGGCCAGGGTTATTGTCTGGCTTTGACTGGTCAAGCCAGGTCAAGCTAGCTCAAAGCCAGGCCAGATCAAGCCAGGTCGAGCTCGCTCAAAGCCAGGCCAGATCAAGCCAGGTCAAGCTAAATCAAAGCCAGGCCAAGGTCAGAGGTTATTGTTTGGTTTTGGACTTATTTTTACATCAAAATTAGAATCTTACATCTGAATCTGATGATCGAAATTTGATGTAAGCTTAGGAAGACAGTGTGTAGTAGCTAGACTCTTGGTATCGATAATAAGTAGTGAAAGTTACTGGTACTGATGCATTATCGAGTTGTTCTATGCAAGCTTCTCCTGAGCTGATACTTTCATAGAATTTACATGCACTTTGTTATCCAACCTTTATCATTTCACCCCTTTTCCCTTGCACCGAGTCCATCACTTTGGAGTGTTCCCAAAACAAGCCCATAAACCCCATCAATTCCCCTTTGAAACCCGTAATTATGCAGTGATTCGGAGCGATTGCTTTGTTGACCTCTTTCTTCTTTCTCTTCTTTCTCTTCTTTCTCTTCTTCCTCCGTTCTTTCTCTAACCGTTCTTTTCCTTGTCCTGACTTGTGCCCATCTCACGCCTATTTACGGCCTCGCCCTGTTCAACCCTTTCCCCCTTCGATCTCCATAAAGATTTTCTCAAAATTGTGCAAATATCAAGCGTATCTCTTTAACTGTAGCCTTCTCCTTTTATTTTGTTGATAAGGAAACACCTCTTCATAAACCCAGCGCTGTACGAGCCGCTCTATCCCCATTCGTAAAGCGTTATCAGCTATTCGTAAAGCGTTATCAGATATTTCGAGAAAACTTTACTAATGTTAATCTTCTGAAAGTGAAAAAAGAAAGATTTTCAATGCCAATTACGTGGCTGAACTAGCTGAGTGCTTTACAATTGGCACTACTGGCAATTACTGGCTGGCATTATAGCATTACCCTCTGACTCTGAACCTATCTTCAATTGAAAGTGACTTCTTTTTAGATAGCTTCTTATCACTTTCATATAACTATTTAATTATCTAACAAACCGTATCTAGTTGGGAAGAGCTCTTCGGACTTTGAGCTCTGCTCACAAAATGACATTACACAATCGATGTATTGCGGAGCCGAATAGGTGTGCCGTTTCCCTCGCTCATCCTGGTAGACAGCTTTGCTGAAAATTGGAATGTAAAAACTAGAATCTTAACTGAATATCTTTGAATGTTTCAAGTCTCAACTTATATGGAAAAACCTAAGTCAGCTAATTCTACTGATTTGTAAGGTTCAATATACCTATTTGGCTGTGCAGAAAATCTATTTGTTTCTTTTTGTACTTTTGTTTGAAACCAACAAATGAACCAATTGAATTATGGTTTGTTTTATTAGAAAGGCCAATTATTTCTGTTCAAAATAACATTAAAACGGGTTTAAAATGTCTTCAGTCTAAATTTTTTTGAGAGTCTGAAGTCAGCTAGTCAAAAAGAGCGACGACTCAATGATGCAGACACTTTAGCTTTAGAAAAGACACACTTTAGTTAAGGAAACCTATCTTTGTGTCAATAGATAAAAGATAGAGCATAAAAAGGTTTGTTTATAGCCAAACTTTCAGAAAATTTGGTTCAAACAATTTCTTCGTAGAGGTTTTTATAGATTTTGACAAAAAACACGCTTTCACTTTCGAAATTGGAGCCCAAATTGACTTAAAAAGATGGAAAAGTGAACCTAAACTGACTTAAAAAGATGAGAAATTGAATAATAAACACTTTTGATTTAAAGCAAACCATAGATTAATTGGTGAATTTGTTATTTTTCAACGGAAAACAAACTAAATGACTTTCTAGACAGCCTTCTAGACCAAATTCTAGTTAATTCTATGAAATCTAGCTAGCTCTATGCTTAAAGTCTTATATTTCCTTATTGGTAGAGAACTTTTCTAAACCCAAATTCCATAAATCAAATTTCTAAACCCACCTAGTGCCAGGGAAAGACATCGAGGGACACGTCACCGGGGTGCACAACTCGGAGACACTCCCGCACAACGCGCTCACGTGGTCGAACAAAGCCAGGGCTAAATTTGATTGTAAAGAACTAGTTCAGCTTCAAGAACTGTTTCCAAAGCTGTATACAATGTTTTGAAAACAAATTCATCACGGATTACTAGATTTATTCATTTTGAACTCATAGAAACAATTATACAGCAATTACTATGTTATTACTATTACAGTAAAGCTTACTATGCGTTGCCAGCCATTCATTCGAATCGACACCGGTCGGGATCTGCGAGAATCGCTCGATCATCTGAAATTTAGCTCAATAATCAACTAGTTTCAGCTAGATTTTAGCTAGTTTTATTCAAAAACAATAGATTTTTCAAATTATCATCTAAACAAAGCCCAATGGATTGATCTGCTTATAGAGTCAATATAAAAATCAATATCTACGACTGGAAAACGAGATTGGTGGGGGAGAAAAGAAAGGAAAAGAGGAAGAGAGTTGCAAATTGCGCAAAATGGGGTGGCTAAAAGATGGAAAGAGATCGGCTCTCTTTTTGCTCTTTTCAATCGTTTGGCCTTAGAGGGGAAAAGAAAATGAATGGGATGAGGAAAGAGGGGAAAAGAGAGGAGGAGGATATTGATCCGTGGGCACTACTGTCGAGAGGGCAAGGAATAGCTGAGAGAAAGATGGGTAAATTTCAATTTCCTATATTTTCCTAAAGTGTAGACGTTATTTGGCTATAACTACACGAACTTTAAAATCATTTTAAAAAGAATATACAAATTGCAAAGGCCAGTTTTGAATTTTCTCAAAAGTCTTTTCCCTTTTCTGTTGAAAAATCACAAATTCATCAATTAATCTATGGTTTTCTCTAAATAAAAATGTTTATTATTCAATTTTGCATCTTTTTAAGTCAATTTGGGTTCAAATTCGAAAGTGAAAACATGTTTTTTCGGGAAATTCGAGATTGTTTCTCATCAAAATCGATAAAAACCTCTACAAAGAAATTGGCTGAATCAAGTTCTCTGAAATTTTGTCAATATACAAATCTTTTTGTGCTCTATCTTTTATCTATAGACACAAAGATAGGTTTTCTTAGCTAAAGTTTGTCTTTTCTAAAGCTAAAGTGCCTGCATCGTCGAGTCATCGCTCTTTTTGTTTAGCTGACTTCAGGCTCTCAAAAAATCTAGGCTTAAGACATTTTAAACCGGTTTTAATGTTATTTTGAAGAGAAATAATTGACCTTTTTAATGAAGCAAATCATAATTCAATTGGTTCATTTGTTGGTTCCAAACAAAAGTACAAAAAGAAACAAATAGATTTTCTAGACAATAACTTTCTGGACTTTCTAGTCATTGCTGGCTCCGTTTGTGATCTTTAAACAGATAAATACTGTTATAAAGTACTTGCATGTACAAGTTATGCAATTTATTTGTTTACTTAGCTGCTTAAAGATTAAAACCAGTATTAAATTTAACTCTAAGCTCTCCTTAAGGTTGAAGGAGAAGGAGAAAATTCCTCAATTCCAGTTTCATTTTAAAAGCCAGAAAATTCGGATTTACAGATGATCTATTGAGAGCTTCAAACAGCAGAGCTTCAAACAGCAGAGCTTCAAACAAACCTTATCATCAATCGAATCACACACGCAAACGTTTTGTTCCTGGAGTGGGGCTTTTGTTGCGGAGATATGTGAAACCGAGGCTCCCCTCTTTCCACCACCCGCCGGCTCTTTTGCTCCATCTTTGCCACGTCGAGATCGACTGAATTAGAAAGATTAGATAGAAAGATAGAAAGACTGAAGATTTAATATGTTTATATTAAAGATAAATGTTTTTATGGGGGTGGGACAAATGCGACCTTTTTTTTGCTGGAAAAGACCTTAGGAAAGGTCGTAGAGCTTCGAAAATGTTTCCATACTGGGGAATCGTATGCGTAGATTCCGAATTTCGACAAATCACACCTCGCTGACACGTCAAATTTGGGCCAAAAGGCAAAAACTGCGGAAAAGCGTTAATTTGCGTAGTTTTTGCCTTTTAGCCCAAATTTAACGTTGTCAACGAGGTCTGATTTGCTTTGATTTGTCGAAATTCGGAATCTACGCATACGATTCCCCAGTATGGAAACATTTTCGAAGCTCTACGACCTTTCCTAAGGCCTTTTCCAGCAAAAAAGGTGCGCAAATGTCCAGGTGCGCAAAAAAAAGGTCGCATTTGTCCCTCCCCCGTTTATATTAAATAATATTGTTCCACTTGTTAAAGCCAACCACTGCCAACCACTTGTTAAAGCTTTATTTCATAGCTGCTTATTGTCAGTTCCTAAACTGTAGAAGTATTCTTTTTAAACACAAAGTTGACTATGAAAGTCTTTTTCTATTGTCAATTCAAATTTTGAAGAATATTTTAGTGTAAAAACTAGCTTATTTTTAGTCTACAAAAGCAGCGTTTACAAAACGTCATTAATTTTCAAACTTTCTTCTGTTTTCTTTGTCATTCTTTTTGTTTATGAATGAGAAACGAGGCTTTTCACCTTTCCATGACGTCACCTAACATGTTTGACGCAAAAAAACTTGTTTAGACTCATTTCAAACCAGCAATTCTTTCAATTCTTTCAATAATTCCATGAATTTCTCCTTATCAGTCGTTTTTCCCTAAAATTCCCCTTGTATTCGATTGATTCATTCAAAAGAATTTCTCAAGGAAAACTTTCTTTCGCAATCCGAGAAGAGCTTTCTTTTTCTTTCTTTTTCTACGAACTGTTTGCCTTCTTCTTCGGAAAAACTTCTAAACTAACAAAAAAAAAAGAAAATCAAGGGATTTTCCTTGATTTTCTTGGGTGTATCTTTTCAGGAACCCCTCATTTTTTTGAGTTTTTTTTTTGTTTTTGTCCACTTTGCTCAAATGTTGATCGATCAAATGGTGAAAAAAAAACTCGGAAAATTGATTGACTGAAAGAATTGAGAGAGATAACTTTAAAGAAACAAAAAAAAATGGAAAACCTGAGTAGCTTGGTTATAGTCTTGGCTTGCAATGGCTTAGAACAGATTTTTAGCTATTTTAGCTGACTAGCTTGGTTATAGCCTTGGCTAAAGAATTGCAATTGTTTGAAACATATCGTAGCTTCAAAAGTGGGTTGTAATTGGTTATAGCCTTGGCTTACAAGGGTTTAGAACAGATTTTTAACTTCAAAAAGTTGGCTATAGTCTTGGTTTTAAGTCTTGGTTTAAGAATTAGAATGGTTTTGAGCAGATCTTTAGCTATTTTAGGTGTACTTTGTGCATTAAATAGATCCTTTTTAGCACAAAGACTTAGATTGAGTGTGCCAGAAGCTGTCAGAAGCCAGAAAGATGCGTTCACGTGAGTACAACGGACTACTTAGTCTTATTCTTGTCAAAAAATGTATGACTCACTTCTTGCTCTTGAAATCCGAATATTTAAACTCTAAAGAAAAGAATCTCATTGAAATCAGTGAATTCAGAATTGAGTTCAGAATTGAGTTCAGATTGAAATCAGATTGAATTCAGATTGAGTTCAGATTGAGTTCAGATTGAGTTCAGAATTGAGTTCAGAATTGAATTCAGAATTAAATTGAACGAAAACTGTACGATCTTTGAATCTTCCCTCTTTGAGCTTGTTTCAATTCAGGTTTCCAAGAAGCAAAAGAAAAAAAAGAAGCGATAAAAGCGATATTCCGTTTGCGATTTGTTTGTTCTTTTCCCATTTCTTCCCCATTTCCCTCTTTTTCCCTTATTTGTACTATTTACACCGAGGAGCCTTTTCAAGAAGAGGACAATGTTTGTCGACACCGATTGAAATTCGAATCGAACCCTGGACCGCATTTTTGCGGCTTTCCCTTTTTTGGTCAAATATTATGTGAAAATGATAGAGTTTCAACAAAATTTAATCAAAAAACCCCATTTTTTTGAATAGGAGATCGATTTTTGTGAGTTCGGCTTTGAGTTTTGGCTCAAAAATCGGTTTTTCTCGAAGCGAACACGTGAGAGCGCATTTTTTGCGATTATGAAAATCGAATCGAGTTTTGTTGGCATCACGTGATAAGCTTTTTGCGGAAGGGGGATTTGAGAATGAAAATGAAACAAAAGTATGAGAATGGAACGGTTTTAGAGAAAGTTCAAGGTTAAAAAGGAGTTGGAACTGGGGCAAATCAAAACTGGTGCACCGCCGGGACTCGAACCCGCCGCCTTTCGCTTACCAGGCCTATTTTATTTGATTTGCTTAAATTGTTTATTTGTAACCGATTTGATTGTTTAAAAAGCAGATATTGCTTAGATTCTAGCCTATCCTAGGTCCTAGCCTTGTGGGCTTAGAGCTTATAGTTTTTTGTGGGCTAAGAGGCGGAGTTTTTCCCGGCGGAGTTTTTCCCGGCGGAGTTTTTCTCTAGTTCCAACTCAAAGTTTTGCTCTAGTTCCAACTAAGGCCGGAAATTTTGAGGATTGGTTTTGAAAGGATTGATTATTGGGAAACATGAGAATGAGTAAAAGGACAATGAATAAAAAGATTTTTGAAGCTGAGGAAGTTGTAAACTTCACAAATCGCTAGGAGAGCAATTCCGGTTAGGAAAGATAGAAGTTCTAAGGTAATAATGATCAGTTCAAGTTCATGAACTGTTTTAAAAGCTGTATACAATGTTTTGAAATGATTCCTGAACTAGCTCAGCTTCAAGAACTGTTTCCAAAGTTGTATACAAAGTTTTGAAATGATTCTTGAACTAGTTCAGCTTCAAGAACTGTATTTAAAGCTGTATACAAAGCTTTGAAATGATTCTTGAACTAGTTCAGCTTCGAGAACTGTTTTCAAAACCAATACTATTAGAAAGCTTATCCTAGCATTGTCCTAGTTATCCTAGCAATTGTCCTAGCAAACTGTACCTTCGATCTTTTCGCTTGATAAAATTACATCCACCGAATAGTTGTTTCCAATCAGCCAGCACTGATCTCACCGAGTTCAGCCTTCCATGTGATGGTGGCGGTTCGATCAAAACAGCTGATCGACCCACCATCAACTGTTGGATTACAAGGAAATCGTACTAAAAAGGTATCGGATAAGAAATTTGAGAAGAAAATGGGCTTTGAGAAGAAAACAATTTTGAAAACTGTAAGGAACAAGAGGATTAGAACGAGAAAAAGAGCAGATTGAGCAGCTTTGAGAAACAAAGTAGATTGAGATGTGCAATTGAAGAAAAAAGGAAGTTATCGACTCAAAAACAGCTAAAGTTTTGATTTTTGCTTGATTTCTATGCAATAAAAGCAAGTTTTTGTTAAAAAAATAAAGTCAAATTTCATATGAAAGCGAATCTTTTTATGGAAAAATCTTTTTATGGAAAAAATCTTTTTACGGACACAACAAAACGGGGCGCGAAGTTTAGGGCGTGACTAAAAAACTGTCTTAATATTTTTGCAATCGCGAAAACGAAACTCTATGACTCAATATAGCAATAAGAGCTAGGACAAACAATTTTTAGGGAAAACTTTTAGGGAAAACTTTTTAGGGAAAAGTTTGATGGATCATCTTTTGATGGATCATTGTTTGATGGATTGGGCACGATCTTTTTTGGTTTTGAACGAGCAATTTTTGTGGGCTTTGAGCTTAGAGATTCAAGCATAGATCTATCTTATTCTATCAAGATCTATCAAGATAAAAACAAGTGTACAAGTCTTTTTACAAGTCAGTTTACAAGACAAGACAGTTTACAGACAATCAGTAAGTAAACTGATAAAGAAGTTCCAGATTTACAAGCTTGTTTTAGGTCTTGTGACTGATTTCTAGGTCTTTTGATCTAGAAAAAACCAGATCTTTTGATATGGCAAGTTCTAGTAAGTAGTTCTAGCAAATAGTTCTAGTTCTGGCAAGTTCTAGTAAGTAGTTCTAGTTCTGGCAAGTTCTAGCAAGTAGCTCTAGCAAATAGTTCTAGTTCTGGCAAGTTCTAGTAAGTAGTTCTAGCAAGTCGTTCTAGTTCTGGCCGTACAATTCAATTAAACTATAAAAATTAAACCATAATTCATCAATGAACCACAACTAATTCTCTAGAACACTGGCTTTAAGGGATAGATTGGATAGAGACAGGGTGAATGTGTATTTGTGAAGGGGCACACCTTCACCCCAATCGAATCCATTCAAAGGGAACGAGAAGACGGTGAAAGGAGGAAAGGAGAGGAGAAAGGAGCTCTGACAGCCTGCTTCGATCGACTGGGTGAAGGAAATCGGCTAAGGTAACTGTTCTCGAGTATTGGAAAAGTTTGATATTGGAAAAGTTTGATATTGGAAAGGTTTTATGATTGAAATCTATCTTACAATTGATAAATAATGTCAAGTAGTCAATAAAGCTAAGCAAGAACTATCTAGAAACAAACAAAGGAAACTTTTCAGTTTAGGAAAACTGTTTTTGCTGTTTTTTTTGCTAAGACTAAGCTTAATGCTTTAACAACTAGTCTAAAAGCAATTAAAATAAAATATTTGGACTTACAAACAACAAATAAAGTTACATTTGAATTACAAACTTAGATTTCTTACGACTTCAAGAATTCTAATGATTCTAATTGCTAATGATCGAGATCTAAAGTGGATATCGATCTAATATTGAGCTTGAGAAAAGGAAAACCAATTAATATCGATAGATATACACTGAGAGCTTACAAAACATACAAAAAGATACAAAAAGATACAAAAAGATACAAAAAAATGGACGGTGAAGGACGGAGAGGTCTGAGAGCTTTGCCTCTGATCGGCTGGAGGGAGGGAGAGGGTGGATCGACCATCCCCTTTCCCCCACCTGTCCCCATCACTGTCTCCTCTCTTTCCCCTTTTCCACTCTTTCACAACTGATAACAAACACACCCCGCATCAGAGGCCTTCGCCAAAACCCCTGTGGTGATCGAATCCACTCAAATACCAGCTCTTTCAGTCATTCTTAGGCTATTAGGCTGATCAGAAAATCTTTTCGTTTCTTTCTGACTTTCTAGACAGATTAATAGTTAGTGGATTAACTATTAATCAACAAGTTTCTGGCCTCTATAACGTTTCTTAACGAACAAGAACCCGTTTCTTAACGAGTCTGGAGACAAGGTGACGACTTCTGCGAACTGACTAAACCTAACCAGGGCTGAACCTTATCAATCAGCAGAAATAGATGATTTAGGTTCTTGGCCACTCCGTTATTCCATATTTGACTTGGGATATCCAGAAAAGATATTCAACTATAGCAAATATATTCAGTTATAGCAAAGATAAGCAAAGAAATTGTGGAATTCGCCGAAGTCGTCACCTTGTCTCCAGCCTCGTTTCTTGAGTAATCTTATAAAGGCCAGAAACTTGTTGTTTTGAAAAAAGTGAGAAATTAATGAAAAAATCTATAAAATTGATAGTAGCTCAATGTTTAAACATTCTAGATTAACTTTTCTTGATATCAAGTTCAAACTGTAAGCCGGGTGATTTGGTGAATCGAAAAAGTAGCAAAATTATGTTAATTTTGCACAGAAGCTAGTGTAAAAATGAGATATAAATCTGAAGTTTTAAGAATTCGATTCATGGGAGACAAAGTTTGAAAACGAAAAAGGCTGCAGAGCTAAAAATGTACAAGGCAGCTGTGATCCAAGTTCTCCACCCCCACTCCAAGTTCTCCTTGCACTCGCCACTCCCACGACCGATGTCCCTTCTTAGGGCAAATCAACGCAAAAACCCTAAAAAGGAAAAGAAAAGAGTGTGTTTTTGTGTTTTGGTGTTTTTTTTTGCGATTGTCGGCTGCCCCTTTCTTTCTGTAAGTGGGGGAGAGTTTTTCTGGTGATCGAATCCACTCAAATACCAGCTCTTTCAATCATTCTTTGGCTAGACTTGGGAAAATCGGTCCTTGACAACTTGAAATCAGATTTTCTCAGCACTCATTTCCGGAAGTTCTTCAAAATGATAAGCAATCGTTTATCAGGGAAATGATTTGTTGTGTTTGATCAAAGAAATGATTTGTTTTATGATGAAAAGGAAGTGAATTTTGATGAAAGTCTTAAAAAAACAAATAAAACAAAACAAAAAAAAAACAAATAAGCCAAGGCTTTCAGATTGAAATCTAAAGTTTTAACATCTAGTAGCAAAGAATTAAGCAGAATTAAGCAGCATTTAGGCACTTTTTACCTCAAAAATAATAGTTTGATACGGGTTAATGGAAAAAGAATGCCTGGAATGCTAAATGTATAAAAAAGATGAAGAAATTTGATGAAAGAGAAAGGAAAAATGAACGCTTTTCTTTTTCTCAATGAAAATTATTCGATCATCGTCTTTCAAAGCAGTTGAATGAACCGGTTAGTGAAAGGAGGAGAAAAGGGAAACGGAAGGCGAAATGATTGAATCGATCTTGGTTTACTAGTTGAGTGTAATTAGTAAAGCGATTAAGATTTAATAAATTCATTAAAGTAATCTTTTTGCTAGTTATTGTAAAGCCTTTAGTTTTTTTTGTTCCACTACAAGCCAGACCCAGATGGCTGGAGAGGCTCAGACTTAGAAACGGATAGGTTGAATCTTAAGTCTGAGGTCCTTAATCTGAGTCTGAGGTCCATAATCTGAGTCTGAGGTCCATAATCTTAAGTCTGAGATCCTGAATCTGAGTCTGAGGTCCTTAATCTGAATCTGAGGTCCTTAATCTTAAGTCTGAGGTCCTTAATCTGAATCTGAGGTCCTTAATCTGAATCTGAGGTCCTGAATCTGAGTCTGAGGTCCTTAATCTGAGTCTGAGGTCCATAATCTGAGGTCCTGAATCTGAATCTGAGGTCCTTAATCTGAGTCTGAGGTCCTTAATCTGATTCTGAGCCCCGAAACTTAATCCCTGAAATATAAAGTATTCGGAAAAGCCAATATCTTGTACAAATACTTCTATTCTAACATGCAGAAGTTAAAATAGAAACTAAACTGGCAAGATTGCCAGGAACAGTAGTACAGGTGTAAAGCTGTGGTAGAAAAGATCTACCACATTTGTAATAATGACTCAAACAAAAGATTCAACCATTAGTTCAAAGCCATTAGTACAAAAATAGCTTCCAGAAAGCTATTTATGGAAAAAAGAGAGACTGAATGAATGAAATGGGGCGAGTTTCAGCTGCCTTCAAAAGTGGCTTTCACTTGGGAGTGATTTGTGTGCAGTGAGTGCTTATCGACGGTTTGAATGGGGAAAAGGGTCACCCGATTACTCGATTAGCTCATTTTTTGAATCGAAATCAAAACAAAGTTTAGAGTGAAGTGAGTTGGCTTACTAAAGTTCAAGATCGAAGCTGAAGCTAGAGTCATTGGTTTGAGTTTGATAGACTGAAGATCTTGAGGTCTAGAGGTATTGAACTCAAGCTGATAGACTAAAGCTATTGAACTGAAGCTAATGTTTAACTAGCCAGTTGGTTCAAAGAAAACAAGCAATCTGAAGACCCAAACAAAAGAGTTGCTCAAGAATATATTCAGCATCAATCCAATCAGCCATTCTACCAAGCTGTCCAAGTCTTTTCCTTCCTTTTCGTACTTTCGTTTGGAACCAGCAAATGTATCAATAGAACTACAGCTTATTTTATTAGAAAGGTCAATGATTTCTCTGCAAAATAACATTAAACCGAGTTTAAAATGTCTTTTTTGAAAGCCTGAAGTCAGCTTCTCAAAAAGAGCGACGACTCAATGATGTAGACACTTTAGCTTTAGAAAAGACAAACTTTAGCTAAGGAAACCTATCTTATTGTCTATAGATAAAAGATAGAGCACAAAAAGTTTTGTATATAGCCAAATCTTCAGAGAATTTGATTCAACTAATTTCTTTGTAGAGTTTTTAATAGATTTTGACAAAAAAAACACGCTTTCACTCTTGAATTTGAACCCAAATTGACTTAAAAATATGAAAAAGTGAACCCAAATGGAATTATGGTTTGTTTCATTAGAAAGGCCAATGATTTTTCTACAAAATAACATTAAAACGGGTTTAAAATGTCTTATTTCTGGATTTTTTGAGAGCCTGAAGTCAGCTAGTCAAAAAGAACGACG